ACAAATCGATGAAGGTATTCCTTCCATGAATCGGACAAGTATTGGCTAAGATATGGCCTTCCAAAGGGGGCTCTTTTGGGAATCCTACATTTTGAAGGGGTCTCCTCAGGAAAAATTGGAAAAAAATCGAAAAAATATTTTGTTCTCGGATTTTGATGCAGATTGGCGGGGAATCGCCCCACAAATCGATTAAGGTATTCCTTCCATGAATCGGATGAGAATTGGCCAAGATATGGTCATCCAAAGGGGGCTCATTTGGGAATCCCACATTTTGAAGGGGTCTCCCCAGGAAAAATTGGAAAAAATCGAAAAAATATTTTGTTCTCGGATTTTGATGCAGATTGACGGGGAATCGCCCCACAAATCGATTAAGGTATTCCTTCCATGAATCGGATGAGAATTGGCCAAGATATGGTCATCCAAAGGGGGCTCATTTGGGAATCCCACATTTTGAAGGGGTCTCCCCAGGAAAAAATGGAAAAAAATCGAAAAAATATTTTGTTCTCGGATTTTGATGCAGATTGACGTGGAATCGCCCCACAAATCGATGAAGGTATTCCTTCCATGAATCGGACAAGTATTGGCCAAGATATGGTCATCCAAAGGGGGCTCATTTGGGAATCCCACATTTTGAAGGGGTCTCCCCAGGAAAAATTGGAAAAAAATCGAAAAAATATTTTGTTCTCGGATTTTGATGCAGATTGACGTGGAATCGCCTCACAAATCGATTAAGGTATTCCTTCCATGAATCCGACAAGTATTGGCCAAGATATGGCCTTCCAAAGGGGGCTCATTTGGGAATCCCACATTTTGAAGGGGTCTCCCCAGGAAAAATTGGAAAAAAATCGAAAAAATATTTTGTTCTCGGATTTTGATGCAGATTGACGGGGAATCGCCCCACAAATCGATTAAGGTATTCCTTCCATGAATCGGATGAGAATTGGCCAAGATATGGTCATCCAAAGGGGGCTCATTTGGGAATCCCACATTTTGAAGGGGTCTCCCCAGGAAAAATTGGAAAAAAATCGAAAAAATATTTTGTTCTCGGATTTTGATGCAGATTGACGGGGAATCGCCCCACAAATCGATTAAGGTATTCCTTCCGTGAATCGGACAAATATTGGCCAAGATATGGCCTTCCAAAGGGGGCTCTTTTGGGAATCCTACATTTTGAAGGGGTCTCCTCAGGAAAAATTGGAAAAAAATCGAAAAAATATTTTGTTCTCGGATTTTGATGCAGATTGGCGGGGAATCGCCCCACAAATCGATTAAGGTATTCCTTCCATGAATCGGATGAGAATTGGCCAAGATATGGTCATCCAAAGGGGGCTCATTTGGGAATCCCACATTTTGAAGGGGTCTCCCCAGGAAAAATTGGAAAAAAATCGAAAAAATATTTTGTTCTCGGATTTTGATGCAGATTGACGGGGAATCGCCCCACAAATCGATTAAGGTATTCCTTCCATGAATCGGATGAGAATTGGCCAAGATATGGTCATCCAAAGGGGGCTCATTTGGGAATCCCACATTTTGAAGGGGTCTCCCCAGGAAAAAATGGAAAAAAATCGAAAAAATATTTTGTTCTCGGATTTTGATGCAGATTGACGTGGAATCGCCCCACAAATCGATGAAGGTATTCCTTCCATGAATCGGACAAGTATTGGCCAAGATATGGTCATCCAAAGGGGGCTCATTTGGGAATCCCACATTTTGAAGGGGTCTCCCCAGGAAAAATTGGAAAAAATCGAAAAAATATTTTGTTCTCGGATTTTGATGCAGATTGACGTGGAATCGCCTCACAAATCGATTAAGGTATTCCTTCCATGAATCCGACAAGTATTGGCCAAGATATGGCCTTCCAAAGGGGGCTCATTTGGGAATCCCACATTTTGAAGGGGTCTCCCCAGGAAAAATTGGAAAAAATCGAAAAAATATTTTGTTCTCGGATTTTGATGCAGATTGACGGGGAATCGCCCCACAAATCGATTAAGGTATTCCTTCCATGAATCGGATGAGAATTGGCCAAGATATGGTCATCCAAAGGGGGCTCATTTGGGAATCCCACATTTTGAAGGGGTCTCCCCAGGAAAAATTGGAAAAAAATCGAAAAAATATTTTGTTCTCGGATTTTGATGCAGATTGACGTGGAATCGCCTCACAAATCGATTAAGGTATTCCTTCCATGAATCCGACAAGTATTGGCCAAGATATGGCCTTCCAAAGGGGGCTCATTTGGAAATCCCACATTTTGAAGGGGTCTCCCCAGGAAAAATTGGAAAAAAATCGAAAAAATATTTTGTTCTCGGATTTTGATGCAGATTGGCGGGGAATCGCCCCACAAATCGATTAAGGTATTCCTTCCATGAATCGGATGAGAATTGGCCAAGATATGGTCATCCAAAGGGGGCTCATTTGGGAATCCCACATTTTGAAGGGGTCTCCCCAGGAAAAATTGGAAAAAAATCGAAAAAATATTTTGTTCTCGGATTTTGATGCAGATTGACGTGGAATCGCCTCACAAATCGATTAAGGTATTCCTTCCATGAATCGGACAAGTATTGGCCAAGATATGGCCTTCCAAAGGGGGCTCATTTGGAAATCCCACATTTTGAAGGGGTCTCCCCAGGAAAAATTGGAAAAAAATCGAAAAAATATTTTGTTCTCGGATTTTGATGCAGATTGACGGGGAATCGCCCCACAAATCGATTAAGGTATTCCTTCCATGAATCGGATGAGAATTGGCCAAGATATGGTCATCCAAAGGGGGGCTCATTTGGGAATCCCACATTTTGAAGGGGTCTCCCCAGGAAAAATTGGAAAAAAATCGAAAAAATATTTGTTCTCGGATTTTGATGCAGATTGACGGGGAATCGCCCCACAAATCGATTAAGGTATTCCTTCCATGAATCGGACAAGTATTGGCCAAGATATGGCCTTCCAAAGGGGGCTCATTTGGAAATCCCACATTTTGAAGGGGTCTCCCCAGGAAAAATTGGAAAAAAATCGAAAAAATATTTGTTCTCGGATTTTGATGCAGATTGACGGGGAATCGCCCCACAAATCGATTAAGGTATTCCTTCCATGAATCGGATGAGAATTGGCCAAGATATGGTCATCCAAAGGGGGCTCATTTGGGAATCCCACATTTTGAAGGGGTCTCCCCAGGAAAAATTGGAAAAAAATCGAAAAAATATTTTGTTCTCGGATTTTGATGCAGATTGACGGGGAATCGCCCCACAAATCGATTAAGGTATTCCTTCCAAGAATCGGATGAGAATTGGCCAAGATATGACCTTCCTAAGGGGGCTCATTTGGGAATCCCACATTTTGAAGGGGTCTCCCCAGACCCCTGGGGTCCATAAAGGCTAGTCTATGCCATAGAGGCTAGTCTATGTTTTTGGGGGTATTACAATGCCAATATTTTTAAATTAATAAATAAGTATCATTGGTTCGATAGCAACTACCCTGTATCTATTCTTCAGGCTTGATTGGCTGGTTTGTCGATTGCCATGAAATTTATGGGCTGTCGCTCAGCGTGAACTTGATGCGAATAAATCCCCATGAAACGGATATTAAAAGGCCTGAAAAGGAGCCGTATCCGAATCCGAATCCCTCAAGCCAGCACCCACCACCCATACCAGATAAGCCCTTCCGTTTCTTAAGTTATGAACTTATAAATTGACAGGCAAGGCACATGAAAGGTCAAAAGTGAAAAAGGGTTAACTAGTTTTTCTTTTTTCTACCCTTTTGGCCTGAATCGGATAATTGACATTTTGTAAAGGGTTAAGATTTTGGGATGTTATAGAGAAAGGGTTAAAGATAGCTTTATATTCTTGTTAAAATAAGAAATTGATTTAATCGATAAACATTAAATAGATTTAAATAAGAAAAGCTTTAAAGAATCGATAATTGTGAGCTCTGTGAAACATTAAAATAAATATTAACCATTGCTAGGATTCCAAGGACCCTTATCTATATCTATATATCCTCATCCTTCTCCAGGAATATCAAATGTAGCCTGTAAGTGGAATTAAGTTCTTGGAATGGGAATCAAAAATACAAAGCCATTCCCCGACCTACCCGATTTTGTTGGTAATTTGCATTAGATAAGCATCTTGGGGATGGATGGGTGGTTGGCATCCTTCGTCCTTGTCATTGTCCTTGCTGGATGAGCTACATTTTAGCCCCGAAGCCACAAGACTTTTTGTTTTGTTTTAATTCCATTGAAATGAGTTTATCTCCGACAGCCAGTCCCAGTCCCAGTTCCAGAAAAGCTTTTCCATTTAAATTACATCAATAATATTGTTTATTCTTGACTTTCATCAACGTACATAAATAAGTACATACATACATTCAAGTGAAACGCAATTTGAAAATCAATCTTTTGAAATGAATAAACAAAAAATATATTGCTTAAGAGTTAACAACATTAACATACAAATATAATCCAAAATTTAAATCGAATTTCGGGGGTATTTTATCACAATTTTGGTCGCGGTATATTGGAGGCAAGTTTTAATACTTTAATGAATAAAATTAAAAAAAAAAAAAATGTATGTATATTTATAATAATTAAATTAAAATAAAAGTAAATAATTTTTAGAATTTTTTGTTCGTTTGTTTTGTTTGGCAAAAACGTTAACTCTGTGTTCCTTCTCATTTCCTGGATGATTTTTTATTCACGGGATGAAGGACATTCCTTAGCATAGAATATGTTATGTATATATAGATGTATATATATATATATTTTTAAGATTTAGTTACTTAACAACGAGTTAGTTATACTTGGATAAGAAAGAGAGTACGTTTAACAAGAGGGGAGAAGGAAGACCCCTGGCAAAGATATAAGACTTTAATTCTAAAAAATATCCAATACTTTGCCAGGATAATCGTAAAGCTAATACTAGAGCTTTGTAGAATTCTCTTTTGAGCCAAAAAACAATCAAGTTTCCTATATTACCAGAAACTTAATTATTAATCTTTAGGTTTTTTTTTTTGGGGGGGATTTCAAGAAGTGCTTGGGGATAATACTTGTGTGTGTTGACATAAAGGGAAGCATATATGTAGAATATAGAATTAATAATTCCATAGATTAGGAAATGAATGGGGATTTTTCATGGTTTTTAGTTCGGCGCTGCCAACCGCTACTGCCGCACTACGTGCTACGCCCGATTTGCAACCAGGCGAGCAACAACTGCAATGCCGGCTGGAGCAGAACCAGCTTTCAGATATCGGTATTGATATTGATCCTTGTCATAAACTCGCCGTGCGAATCGGCCACAGCGCATATGATCTCCAGCAACAGTTCGCGCGACAAACCCGCTATCTTCGGCAATCGGGCCACCTTGGCAAAATCTTTGACAATCAACTTGAGGGCATACTCCTTGATGTCATAGATTTTGGTGATGTCCGATGCCTCCAGCGTTTGCAATACATTCTCATCGTTGATATTATGCTCCAGTGAATATTTGCAGAAGGCATGTAACCGATTATTGGCCAAACCATAAAAGCACGGCGCCTGGAACAGATACAGTGCATCCTGGGGCGGCATCTTAGTCTCACCATAGTAGATATAACGCAATAGCGAATGGAATGCCTCCAATGATGGTGATATTTCGCCAATTTGTATCTAAAACGAATCCACAAAATATAGTAACATTTCAAAGTCTGGGTAGAGAGGTAATCCTACATTGACGGTATTATCCGGGGGCATGAACGAACGGAACATGCCCTGGAAGTAGGTACAACGTGATGATAACACAGATTTGTGGGCCGGAATAACATGGTCCTCCAGTATGAGGCTAATGTCACAAAAATCACTGCCCGTCGTCTCCAGGAAGGCGCACAGATCGATCTCCAGAGTAGTGCCAGTGTTTGACTCGAAACTGGTTTCCATTACCAGCTTACTGGGATGCAAACGCTTCCGGATGATCTCCACCAGGAGTGGCTTGTCCAAATCACTAAACTCACTGGACATGACCACGTCGGTGAAGTTCTCGTCCTTGATGATGAACTGCATGCAATGATCCTTGATGATTTTAATGCTAAAGTGAAGATGACACGTGAATGAGAAACAAAAGAATATATATAATAGACGCACTTGCTCTTGTCGGCATTGTAGAGTGCCTCCAGGACATTCAGCTTGTTGATCTTGTAATCCAAATACTGGATACAGCCGTGGGCCAGCCGCGGCATGGTGAACAACCCCGCCAATTGATAGATGTCCGTTATCAGAATGATAATGTTTTTGTTATACGAATCCTTTAAATCAATCCGATCCGTATATATGTAGTTGAGGATGATGTCAAAGGCCTCCGGTGAAGCGTGGGCCAAGCGAACCTCCAGCATGGGTGAACGGTCTCCGCCCGAAGGAGTATAGAACTCCAACGGTAGCTGCTGTTCGAGGGCCACTCGCGCCGCCAGGATCTTGTTGCGCAGATACTTCGAGCGGGCTGCCACAAAGGCGATATGCGCCAGGATGCGCACCTCCTCGGCCCCGACTATGAACTGGATGTCGCAGAACTGCTTCTCCAAGAAGAACTTGCCGAAATCATCGCGCAGCGTGCACTTCGGATACGAGGAGAACTGAAACCGATAGGTGTCCCCCCGTCGCACACTATTGTCCACCGTTCCCCCAAATATGTACATCGCATCACCAATCACAGCCGAGGCGTGAAACACTCGACCCGACGGCACATCCGAGTTCTGCTCCGGCTGGATAACCGACCACACCTGCGAGTCCAGATCGTAGCAGTGGAGATCGTTGGGCAGCGTCGAATCGGCCGATCCGCCAAAGACATACAGGAATCGATCGTGATGCACCATCGTGTGTCCGTAACGGCGGGATGGCGGCGCCGATGTGGCGCCCCTCAGCACCGGCTCATTGGAGATGCGTCGCCAGGTGCGCGTCTTGAAATGAAACTCAAACAGCGAGTTGGTGATCTGCAGACCGCTCTGGCCGGAAAATACATACATGGCATCCCGAGCCACCGCAACCGGAAAGTTGCAACATGTCGGTGGCCTGTCCCCCAGCTGTTCCACCTCCTCCCACTGATTCTCGCCCGTCAGATTCAGTGTCCACATATCGTTCAGCCTGGCATTGCCATCGTAACCGGCATAGATCCACATTTTGTTATCATAGACGGCGGCTCCGTGGGCCGATCTCGGCACCGGCTGTCGGCCCGAAAACATCCACTCCACCCACATGGCGCTCTGGAACTTGTACTCGAATAGGTCGTTCTTGTTCGTCAGATTCGAATTGGAGTGTATGTCGCCGGTATAGCCGCCAAATATGAACATTGAACTGCCGGCCACCACAGCAGAGTGATGGTATCGGGGCGCCGGTGGTGTACCAGTGGCACACGCCCTGCCCCATGACTTGTCCTTCACCCCGAACCGTATCAGATCGTTCAGCATGTTCTTGCCATTATCGCCGCCGAACACAAACATGGCATCCTTGTAGGCCACCACAGTGTGCTTGCTGCGCCTGTTATCCGAAAGGGATTAATTTCTTGAGGAGATTGGGTTCGATTTGAGCTACTTACTTGGCACCCACAAACTCAGCACACTCCAGCATCCGGGTCCACTGATGGGTGGCCGTATAGGAGCTAAAGTCAACGTTCAATGCATTGCAACTGTAGCTGCCGGGGGAGGCTGCATTGGTGCTGCCACTGCCGCTGCCGCTGCTGGCATTACTTGCGGCATCGTAGGACGCCAGACTGGAGTTGCCTGCTGCCCCACTGGTACTGGCACCGCCGGCACCTCCGCCGCCGCCCCTGGTACTGGTGCTGCGCATGGAACTCGAGGTGGACATTCTCAGATTGGAGCGAATGTGCTGGGCGTCCAAACAGCCTGCCGTTGAGGCGCTCTTTCTGGCCTTTTGCCGCTTACTGGACTTGGAGGAGCTGCGCGAGAAGAAGGACTCGTGGTGGGGGCTCGGATTCTGGCCGGGGCTAGTGCTCTGACCCTGACTGCCGGATGCTGCCACACAGGCGGGACAATAGATAACGCCTGCCGGTGTGCTACCGCCACTGGAGGTGCCTCGATCCTCGCCTCTCACAAAACCGCAAACGGCACTCAGTCCGCTGGAAATGGAACTGGAGCCCAGACCACAACTGGCACGCCCACTCCTTGTTGATCCACCGCCGCCTCCACTTCCGCCACTGCCACCACTGCCACCAGAGCCTCCAGTTCCTCCACCCCCACCGCCACCGCTGCCGACACCACCACTTCCAGTGCCTCCTCCCGTGGATGCCACGCCAATGCCGCCACTGAACGACTTTAGCATTAATGCATCACACTCTCGGAGTCCTCTCCGTTATCTGTATCGTCTTGATGGCTTCCCCTTTTGGGCTCGCTTTCAATTCCTTTGTATGTTATTTTTTTCCAGCAGAAAATTGGAAAAAATCTGGTATGTGTTGCGTTTGTTAGCTCCGTCTCTCTCACTCTCGCGGTTGTGGCCAGTGCTAGTGAGGAGGCAAAACCGATAAGCGATGATTCTTGTCAATCGTAAAAGAGGATAAAATTTAATTAAAATTGAAATAATTTAACATTTATATAAGTAATCTACTTAATTACTAGCTTAGTTTTTGCATTCTAAATCAATTTAACTATTATTCTTATGTTATTTTGAAAACGAATCGAGTGGGCAGTTCCAATTTATCGATATATCTAACGGTCACATCTCTAACCGCATCAAAAGCCGAAGCAATTAAATATGTGCCAATAATTTCTTCTACTTGTTTTTATAAAATAATTCAAAATGGAGTCGTTTCGTTCAGGACCGGCGGGCAGCTCGCGATCTGCGGTGTTGCCGCAGTCTAAGGAGGCATTGCTGAAATCGTACAATGCACGATTAAAGGACGACGTCCGGAGCATGCTGGAGAACTTTGAAGGTAATCTTTGAAAGAATCAACTAGTTCTTTGTACTAATCACCCCATTGAACCTTCCCTCCCCAGAAATACTAAAGTTGGCGCGTAGAGAGAGCCACACACAGATCTCCAAGACGACGCAATGCGAACAGGATGCCCTCGAGATGCAAGTGCGGGCGGCCAACATAGGTAAGTTAAGCCAGGAAGTGCCCTTAGAATCCTATGCTACCACAACCGATTTAACATTCCAGTTCGGGCCGGAGAATCCCTGATGAAGCTCGTGGCCGATCTTAAGCAGTACCTCATCCTGAACGACTTCCATTCGGTAAACGAGGCAATCACCAACAACTCACAGCTATTCCGGGCCACCCAAATAGAATGTGATAAGAAGCTGATGAAGCTCAGGGATGAAATGGCAATGGATCTGTACGACCTGGAGGAGGAGTACTATACCAGTATATTTAAATAGTTTTTTTTTTTTATGAAAATTAGCAGCAATAGCAAGCTTAAATATCAAACAATATATATTTATAATTATTTAAACTAAATATATGTATATATATATATATATATATATAGGTCACATTTACGGCAACTGTTCTGCTTCAATTATTTCGGAACATACGGAACCATTGTCCGTCGCTGTTTCGTTAACGTTGTCCACCAAATCGCCGGTATAGAAGAGCACCGCCTTGGGAACTATTTGAGTCCGCAGCAGGAATCCCACTTCGAAGTCATTGCCTAGGATGAGCTTCGTTTTCTCATCGGCCAGTGACAGATCGAGAGCCTGGGGCGGAGCGAAAAACCGAAAGAAGGATTCGCGCGGCATCACCTTGGGAACACTGCGCGCCCGACCCCGTCGCCGACTCTGGACGGTGCGCAGGGTGAGATTGGAGCCGTCGCGCCAGTGGATGTGACAGCCCTCGCATCGTACGATTTCCGGGCCTTCGAACTGGAAGGGATATTCCTGGTCGGCGGAGTGCTGGAGGAAGTAGCGCTTCGTCAGCAGAAGGGATGAGTCGTGGAGGAAGGTGTTGGGCCGAAACTGGAATGTAACCGTGTAGCTGTCCTGCTCGTAGCCCAGTCGCACATCCAGCAGGCACTCCAGCAGCGGCTCGTCATGGTCCTGGACCAGTTCAGAGAGCTGCGGTACATTCCGGAAGACGGTTAGCCAGAAGCGCGGAATGCCCAGAGTGTCCGTCGGCACTGGTGGCAACTGTCCCACCAGCAGACGCAGCTCCTCGTTACCCTCCAGATCCAGCGGCAGTGCATCCTCCGGCCACGAGTTCTCCGCCTGCACCGGTGGCTCCAGTACTCCGTCCAGTATATCCCGCCGAGCATCGAACAGTGCACAACTCTGGCCGTAGAATCTTCGTTCCAGTTCGTACACCTCCCGGAAAAATTGCTCAGCAATCCGCACCTGTTGCAATTGATTCTGTCGGAGGGCACGGATACGGTTCTGCACGGCATCCGGCAATTGGGCGATCATGTGCCGGAGAAAGGCTTTACGGCAGCGTGCCGGCAAGTCTGCCGGACTCAAGGCGGGCTCTATGGCGTCCAATTGATAGGCGGATGATTCTTGGGTGTCCAGGGATCGCAGCGATTCCACAATAACCGCTGGTTTCAATTCATCCTGTGGGACATCGCCCTCCAATCCGTTTCCGAGAACTTTTCTCTCAGCGTACATGTTGTTGCAAATTTTGGAAAGAAACAAATTTAATTTTAATAAATTTACAAATTTTTCTTCTAACCGTTTTTTAAGGTGGATAAACTAATTATGTAAAGTTTTTAAAATGAAGTTTTTTTAAAAAACTACTAGGGATTTGTGAGAATTTTAATAAGTTATATTTTTGGGGGGTTTTTTAAAAAGAAGTCTGTATAATATGATAATATTTTGAATAAAAATTAATATTTTATAATAATTTATATAATAAAATATAGTAGTAATAATAAGTCTTAAATAAAAAGCCTATTCTTTATGGTATTCTATAGAAACCCCTAAAGGAATCGTCAGTTTTTCAAAGAAATTCATGACTTGATTATCTTTTTATTTGCGAATTACTAATCTCCATTGTTATTCCAATAATTCCCTAATCTAACCACGAATACATTATAATTGATTTTAGGGGAATAACCACTTGAAAAGAACAAAAATTCCAAAAAAATATAACTTTTCATGGAAAATTAGCATGATATGGCATGATATTCCGGTTAAATCGACGGAAATATCTGTCGGTCTGAGGGTCTTATCTGGATCTAGCCAGAGATATGGGATATATACCTCATATAACTTATCGGCAATCATAAATAGGCATTGTGGTAGGTCGGAAATTACTAAAATTCCTAAGAATCTGAGTCTTAAGATCTATAGATTGGAAACTGACTATCGATATACTATCGATGATTATCGAAATATAACTGATTTATGGACTTACATGAATTGTCTTTGGTGTTAGCCATATAATCGAGAGATAGGCTATAATTTATTGTGAGAAAACCCTGAACACTTCTGCAATCTTATCCGCTCTGAAAGTTCTCCGGCAAATTCTAATTTATTATATGGTCTTAACTCCCCGTTAAGGAATCTCCGCGGGGGTCCAACTATCGCACTACTTGTTCCCTAATCTTCCCATAATCTATAGAAGCTTATAAGATAACCCCAACCGATTCGATTGCAGCTGCACCTTCATGGCCTTGTGACTCGATTTTTATAAATAAATATTGTATTTTTTTTAATTAATAACATTTTATTTTAAGGATCAACTTTAACTTAACTTTCTTCAAAAAAAAAAAAAGAGGGCTCATGGATGGATTAAGAATATCTTTAAAAGATAAAGTCCCTTTCCTCCTCCTCCAGGAGACTGAGACTTCTCTCGAATCGCTTGATGTCCTGATACCAGCTGGGATCCTTGGCATTGATGTCCTCCGGCCGGCCACCCTTGTGGCGGTAGAGGAATTCGGCATGTCCCTGCCCGGATATCCCGTTGACAGTGCAGGCAAGGAACTGATTAAACACCTTGGACTCCCAATCCCCGCCCACATACCGCACAGCCGAACCCTCCACCTGGATCTGGACCAGGTACTCCTGCTCCTCGGTCCGGACAATGAAATTCTGATGCTGTGGCGGTATGCCCTTCTCCCCGTAGGAGTACAACTCAAAGTTGCTCCACGTCAGGGGCTGGTATTCACCGGCGGGGGTGCAGACGTAGCCCACCTTCAGGGAGGAGAGGAAGAAGCTCGGCTGGCTGAGATTGCCCACCACCATGCTGCTGCCGTCGTCCAGGAACAGGGCGAAGTACACATACCGATTGATGGAGCTGAGACAGCGTTCCGTGCCGAAACTGTGATCCCTGAAGCCCAACATTCGCAGCGGTATCTCCTCATCCCGGATACGGATCTGGCCAGTGAGTTCGCCGTTCTGCTCGTAGTGCGTCCGCTTCTCCACGATGTGGTTGACGCTCCGCAGGACACTGTAGAATTCCTCGTTCCAGGCCTCGCGGGCTATCGAGTCGGCGATCAGGGCGGAGCTCAAGTCCCGGCTATAGTCAAAGTGCCTGGCGGAGGAGCTTCTGAACCTCAGATCCAGATCCACAGTTACATCCTCCTCGGTGGCCTCCTGGCGTCGCAGAACTCCCTCGTACCGGATTCGCCACACCTTCATGGACTTCTCCTGGCAGATGTGAAAGCCACCGCCTCGGAACTCGTTATTCTCCTGCCCGTCTTGGGTGGTAAAGTGTATCATATCCGGTAGGTTGGGGGAGCCGAAGAGTCCTCCCTTATCGGGCAGCCACAGGTAGAGGGCCGCCTTCAGGACACCGCGCCGCCGACGCTCCAAAGTCACCATCAGCTTCTGGCCCTCTCGATTGGCCGCCATGAAGCTGACCACATCATAGCTCTTCGGATCACTGCCCAGCTCCTGGGCCCGATCGATTTTGGCCAAATGCTCATCGGAACCCAGGACCTCTTCGTTCCTGCGATAGATCCTATATCTTAGATTCTTCAGCACCAGCAGGGATATCCAGAATTTGAAACGATAGAAGATGCCCTTCAAGGGGTACTTGTCAAAGATCATGGGCGGTTTCAGACCCAACAGCTTAAAGATCAGACTGAGGACGGCCAGTAGACCGCCAAAGAATAGTCCCAGGGCGAGTAGGAATACCATTTTGGTGGATGGACGATAGAGTCTTAATTGTTGACCACTTGGCGTATTTTACGTGACTGACTGGCCAAAGAAAAGTGGTAACTGAAAGCCCAGTGGCTTATCATCCGTCGATAAGCTACTACTATACCAATACCTATACCTGTAAGATAAACCCCGGAGCCGCCTAGGAGGGGCGACCCGACTCACCTAGTATATGACTAGCTCGTAAATCTGGATCTGTCTGCGGACGCAATTTCTGATTGATCCATTAGCGAGGTTGATAGCGATCCGTGTTATCTTCTAGTGCAAAGTCTGTTATTGTTATACAAACCACAAAGCACAAAGTCTTACTGAAACTGAAATACTTAATAAGAACCCATTAATTTTGATTAGATTTAGAGATATTTTTAGTCATATTGTTGCATATTGATTATAATCAAGAAAATACTTAAGATATGATCTGCAAAATGTAATAAAAGTTATTTTTTGAAGCTCAAATATACTTTTCCAGCACTAAAAACTGAAATCTTTGATAAAAACCCACTAATTGTGATTATATTAATAAATATTTTTAGTTATTTGGTTAAATTTTTTATCACAAACTATAAACAAGAGAATAAACCATAAAATCATCACCAAAATGGTTAAGCTTAAGCTCATTTAACCTTTTCCAATACTACAGAAAAGTCCTTTTACAAGACCTCGCTTTCCAACACTGAAGCCACCACAGCGCCTGCGCCACAAAAACAACAAATCGCTCACTCAATCAATAAAAACATAAAATTTAGTGCGCAAGGAACAGCAGCAGCAGCAGGAACAGGAAAAGGAACAAAAACAATATTTCAACCACAAAAAGGACAACAAACACTTACACGCGAGTAGAGAGTTATTGTAGATGTTTTTCTTTTTTTTTGTTATTTGCGTAAAGGACGCAACATCACATCAGTATTATCCTGCAAAACAATAAAGGATAAAAAAATATCCTGCATTAACCGTTTACCGTTGCAAGGATAAGTTGAACGATTATTGAGTATTTACCGTTACCTGTGCAACAACACAACAAACACGCACACCACGAACCCGAGACGGAAATAGAAAGTAGGAGAAAGGGAGGAACGGAGAGACGACAGGAACAGCGTGTGCGAGAGGTGCGAGGTGAAAGGTGACAGAAACAACAAAACAACAAAAACAACAGGATTGAAGCTAAAGTTCGAGGAAAAAGCCACAACAACAAAAACAAAAATATACTAAAAATCTGCGGCTTAAGGTGGAAACTTTCTATCCATAAAGTTCCAACAGGAAACAGGACATTCCAGATTCCAGGATCCGAAACCCCCTTCAGCCTTGAAAATGTACAAAACCATAAGACACGGCGAAAATAGTCTGCAATATACGATTTTGCCGCAAAACGATGATTTTCGCATCGAGGGCAAGCTGTCGGGGGCTGGACGATCGGCGTCTTCCGGTGGAGCCTCCACTTCCGGTTCGTCAGCTTCCGCCACCGGCAAGGTCAAGGGTCAGCGACGACGACGCTCGTTCTTCGCCTATTTGGGTCTCATCTTCGTCTGTACCGTTATCATTGGCGCCATTTTAATACCGTTCCTCGTCTCCGCCGAATGTCTGCCCAATCCCAAGGAATGGTTCTTGAAAACCAAAGCAGCTTTCATCCAACACGGATCGGGATCGGGTCCTGGATCAGGATCGGGCTCTTTAGCGATTGGTGGGGATCTGTTGCCGACAGGATCCCCGCTCCTGCAACAGAGTGTGGGTCGGAATGTCCAGATCGTGAACCGGAACGGAGTCGAGCAGTTTGTGCTCCGATTAAACAAAACGAATCCTTTAATCTCCACCACCGCTGCACCCCCACCGCCGACCAGCAGCACCTCTACCTCTACCACTACAACAACAACAACTACGACAACCACAACCACAGAAGCTCCTCCACCGCCGCCTCCGGCTCCAGTTACAACAATTCCAACAACCACTACAACCCGAGAACCAGCCACAAATCCGGTCCAGCGGCATCAGCCACCGGGAACAACAATCACCACTCGGATCATCCAGGTGCCACTGCTAAAGTCCGCCGCCAAGAAACCGATTATGCCGCCCGTCCTAGCCAAGGCCCAGGGCAACCAAATCCAACCGAATCAGGAGGAGGAGGCGAAACAGGGCCAGGAAGTGGCGGGAAACCGAAGCAACAGTGCCTGGATCAAGACGCATTGGGCCTACATTGATCCTTCGACCTACTTCCAGTGGACGGTGAGTCTTCGCGGGGGCTCAGAACCTTTTTAAATAGACTGTTAGTAAATAAATACCAAAAAAATACCAAAACTAAGTACGGGGTATAACATTGTTTCAAATGTGAAAATCTCATGCTTAATAATTAAATTTAACCCCCAAACCCATAATTCTAAGTAATACCAATATTTTAGACCGTTATTTAAAACCCTTTTCCCTTTTTTTCTAGGGCTACAAGGCCGAGGATAGCGTGCTGCTTCCCGCACTGCTGGGCTTTGCCCTGATTGGCGTGATTTTGATCATAACGGTATGCCTGGTGGCACGCAACAAGCGCACCATCGTCTCCTCCGTCCGCAAGCGGAATCGCAACGTGAGTACAAAATGCAATTAATTACGAGCCACGACGACGACCGGCGTCGTCCTTGAACCAATTTCACGGCACTTGATTTTTTCCGTAATTTATGTTCCTTTACGGGTCAACCAATTAAGTTATTTGCATCTCTAATTAAATTCATAAATCTATTAAGAGTGAAATGTTTAAAACGCATGTGCAATAAGTGAAAGTGAATTAATTTTTAAATCAAATCAAAGATTTAATAACAAAGTGCAAAGTGGAATTCAAATTCTGGCGCCAAGCTTGGATTTGCACTTGCATCTCTAGCAAGGAGCTAGAGATCTCAGCCATTTATCAAGGAAATAAAAAAAGGAGTAACAAATTACAAAATGAAGCAGATTTTCTACATATTTATTGAACTTTACAAATATATCCTTTTAAATATCAAGCGGGAGCAGGAAGAACTAAGAAAAATACTATAAAATTGAAAACTATCGATATATTTGAGCCTCTAATAACCGATTCAGAGATGGACCTTATAAGAAATGCCTCTCGGGAGAGAGAGCCTTAGCGATGTGGCAAACCCATCAATATATCGATATTGGCACGTATGACAATCGATGTTTCTCTCCACCTCTACCCGCCAACACATCAACAAATCGGTCTCAAAATCGGGAGATATACATTAGCTGTTGGGTGCCACTATACCGCTACACCGCCTACGTCAGCAGACCACGTTGCACGTCGCTTGGATTCGCCAAAGTCCTGTGAGTAAAATGGTTAAAAATCAACAAACGGTCAATAACAACAAACTGCCAGCGTGTCCCAAGGAGTACCCCCGCTTATGCTCCTCTCTCTCATCATCATCCAATGCCTGTGTGTGTGGGCGCGCTCTGTTAGCGGATTTGCAGGCATACATCCGTATCTGTGTGTTGCCGAGTGTATCTGTATGTGTGTGTGTGTGTGAGAGTAGTGCCAACAAGGCAAATTGTATGTTTTTGTTGTTGCATCCACAGAGGAGCATCTCCAATACAGTGAACATTGGGCTGACAGGACCAGTGACAGTGCCAGGACATTGGTAATATATGCGAATAATCGATCTGAGCTGTAGTGGAGTCGCCCCCGTAAGGGAATCGTGGCACTATTTTAGGCATCTATTGCTACCAAATAGTTGAACAGCATCCTTGGCTACAGTGTGGACTCGCTTATCAAGGACATCTATGGAATATTTAAAAAAAGAAAAGCCAATTGGGTAGAAAATCCAGTCAGCATGTGTGTCTGTTGCTAGTGGGGCGGATGGTGGAGGGGGAGGGGGAGAATGTTGGTGAAAGTTAGCATCTTGGTTGGGTTTTTCTTTTTGGGCCAAGGTGAAACTATAAAGCAACAAATATAATAATTTCAAACTTGAACTTTTCAGCCCCTAGCCCGCTACTCTGCCTCCTCTGCCTGGACATAAAAAATGGCCATCAAACCTGGTTTGGGTCGCAAGACCAGCAACAAGAACCCACCGATCCTGAGCCACGAGTTTGTCATCCAGAATCATGCCGATATCATCTCCTGCGTGGCCATGGTATTCGTTGTCGGTCTGATGAACGAATCAACGGCGGCGTTCGCCAGCGCCTTCATCTCGCTGCATCATAATGTGAGCGGTGAGGATCCCAGCCGAGAGCAGCCGTACGGCAAGGCCTTCACCTACATTGCCGGCATCAAGGACTATTGTGCGATATTCTTCTATACACTGACCTGCATCATTATGCATGCCATTATCCAGGAGTTCGTGCTGGACAAGATCAGCAAGAAGATGCATCTGTCCAAGTTCAAGTTGGCGCGCTTCAATGAATCCGGCCAGCTGGTTGCCTTCTATCTGATGTCGTTCTTCTGGGGCGCTCACATCCTGGTCAAGGAGGGCTTCCTCGGACATGTGGCCCAGCTGTGGGAGGGCTTCCCCGACCATCCGATGAGCTTCCTGCACAAGTTCTACTTCATCATTCAGCTATCGTACTACCTGCATATGCTGCCCGAACTCTACTTCCAGAAGATCAAGACCAAGGAGGAGCAGCAGCCAAAGATCGTGCACTCGGTCAGCGGCTTCACCCTGATCGTGCTGGCCTACATTCTCAGTTTCCAGCGTCTGGCCCTCGTCCTCCTCACCCTGCACTACTTCAGCGAGCTGCTGTCGCATGTCTTCCAGCTCATTGGTGTCTTTGATCGCGAGGAGCGCCTGGCCAAGCTGCGCGTGGTTAACAACGGCGTGTTCTTCCTCATCCGTTTCGCCACCTCGGTGATTGGTGTCCTGACACTGTACTATGGCATCGGTGGAGCTCGCTCTCTGCTCGCCTTGGGCGGCCTAATTGCCCTGCAGGGCTATCTGGTGTTCTCGTTCATCACCGAGCAGCTGAAGGCCAAGCGCGAGGCCAAGAAGGAGGCGAAACGGGAGGCCAAGCTGGCGCTGCAGACCAAGAAGCCGGCCAAGGCGCTCAAGGATAAGGTGAAGCGCAAGAAGGAGAGCGATCTGCCAGAGGCGGATCAGTCATCGGCCAGTCCCATCAAGCAGAAAGTCAAATGAGCAACAACCACAAAAGTCTCTTCATCAGCAAAACAACAACAACAAAAAAAAAGCAACAAAATCTTTCGCACACTTCCAACCAACAACAACAACAACAACACCAATCTGAAGAATGATAGTTACCAGAAGAGAGAGAGCGCAGCACCAGGACAGAAAGATTAGCCGGCTAATATATATATATATATAGATATATGTTTAATTGAAGACCATCCACCCATCCACTACTACTGCGCCGGGTAGCGAAACCGGAAATCTTTGTAAATCTCGTTTTTTAGCTCCAAGAACTACTGCAAACATTTCTGCTGCATTTACTTCCCTCGAGACGATACACCAGCAACTATTTCCTAGCCTAAATGTTTTGTTTCCAATTTTTTTAAGTTTGTCTAATTTTTTTTTTTTTTAAACAAATTTTTTTATTTTTATAAATACACAAATACAAACTAAAAAACTAAAAAAAACGTTAAAAAAAATAAGAGAGAAAAGTACATTACCGAATGTATATGAATATTGTATCGTGTGTGTGTTTTTTTTAAATATTGTTCTTCCTTGAAACTTGAAATAAGCAAATTGTTCAAATGCTTAAAAAAAATAATTTAACAATTTCTAATCGTCCTATTTGCATGTACAACTATTTTTTATAAAAAAAAACCAACAAACAAACAAAAAAAAACGCAAAAACAAATCACACAAAAAAAGAATGAAGAATGAAGAACCAGAACAACAATGATTGTAATGAAGAAAGAAAGCAAAACATTTGCTGAATATATAAAAAAAAAAACAAATATATATTTTGTATAAGAAAACTGAAAAACAACTATTTCTATTCACTATCGGGCGGAAGTAATTAATTTTCGAATTAAATTACTATCTTATCTTTAACATAAAAAAAACGCAGGAATTCGTAATTCTTCAGATCATTCATAACGCGACTTAATGATAGATAATTTTTTAGATAAAAACAAAGAAACGCCACTTTTAAAATATTTATGTACTTATCTTCAAGAAGACTTGATAGAATTTTATTTTATACATTTTTACACTGAGAGAAAATTATTGGGGAATTTAGATTTATATCAAAAGAAGTGTTCATAAAAAGTTAGAACAGCTTAGATAGCCTAATTTTGAGAATATTTTAAAAAATCTTTATCTTCTTACAAAAATTTTACACTGAGAAAAATAATTTTTAGTTTTGTTAAGTCAATTTTTGAATAAAATATATTAAAATAGTATCGGTGCTTAAAAAAAATATATTTTAAAGAAGCTAATGTTGAAAACGTTTTCGAAAAAATATGTTTGTTTTAAAATATTAATTTTTACACTGAGAAAAAAATTGAGGGGAATTTTTAGGTAATTTTTTGAGTAAAGTAACACAAATAAGTGATGAAAATAGGTATATTTTTTTTTTGTAAGAAACTGATTCGAAAATATCTCGAAATTTTGAAGTTCGATCTCGAAATTTTGAAAGTGATGTACATATTATGTAAAATTTTTTTCGATTTTTCTATTTTTTATTTTCTACGTGATGTTTTCTTCGAAATATTGTAAAAAAAACCTCTGATTAAAATAGGTTAAAGACTTTAAGGTTTTTATTATTCAAAAAATAGTTTTTTATTTTCGAAAAATATTTAAAATATCTCCCCCATTTGTTATCCTTTCAGGACATTGAGGAGCAGGGCGCCGAGGATAATGCCACTTTGCTTACAACCACAAACTTGTCGGATGACGATTAATTGGAACTCGTCTAGATAAAGCCCCTATATCTACAGACTCACCTATGATTCCAGCTTTTCGTGTGCAAAATGATAACTATTTTTGTTTTTCAGCATATGTAGATCCTAAGATCCAGATCCCCAATATATCGTATCCAGATCTAGATCGGATTAGATCAGATCTCAGAGCTCTTTGAAAGCCAAAAGCCAAGCTAATGCTTAATCCGATCAGATCGACTTTCTCTGTTATGTTTTCTTTTTTTCTTTTTCTTCAAGAAATTATTTAAAAGTAAGAAAGAAAAGTATCCAAAAGAAGACTGTTTCTGAAACAACAACACAAGATTCAAGATTTTATGATTTTCCACTCGTTTCCAAAACTTGTTTTTCGAAAGTTACCCCATTCCCAAAAATATAAATTATAACTGTATCTTTGGTTGTGTGTGAATGGTGCGTGCATGTGTGTGTGTGTTTCCCCACAAAAAAGATACTTAGATATTTAAAAAAAATATTTAATTAAATATTCCAAAAAAAAAGAGGCACGAAAATTTAAGTTATGAGATGAGAGAGTTTCCATATTAAAAAACTAGCATATGAAAAGTACAGTGCGTTTCAGAAGTGTAAGATCAAAAAACTATATAAATAATATTTAATATTATGATACATTTTTTTTTTGTCAAATTTAAAGCGAGCTTGTTTTTTTTTTATAAATTGCTAGAAAACCTTTAAAAAAAAAAATGACTTACAGTTCTGAAAAGCACTGTATTTTGAAGGAAAAAAAAAATAAATATATATTATATAATAATGGGGCTGCTTAAAGATAACCCCTGAGAGAAAACTTTAAACTTAATTCGTGTTAACCAAAGGCAAACACACTCGAATCAAATGAAAACGTCCAGAAACGAGAATATTTTTTTTCGCAACAGCAGCAGCAGCAGTGCTTCTTTAACGAGTCTGGACTGTACTTGATTTTTAGCACAAACGGAGCCGATGCATTTACGCCTGGATATAAAGGTCCTTGAGGCTAAAAATCCTGCACAGCTTGCAGCCGCCGAGAGCACCAAAAAAATAAAAATAAAATATATATATACAATATATAGCTTGCCGAAGAGAATCCAGATATTGTAAGATGGGGTGGTATGTAGCGGGGGAGTACTGTGTATGTCTATATAAACTGTGTATAACTGTGAAGCATTGACAAGTATTTGAGATGATCTGTATTTTTGTAAGCGTAATATTTAATATTTAATGCGACAAAAACCAATAAACAAAAAAACCAATCCAGAGATGCAACTATATAGGCCTAAGATAACCGATGCGGCACTAGCCACAAAAACAAAAACAAAAAAAAAACATAAATTTGCTCAAAACACACACACATTTAGATATATATATATATGTTTACAAAAATATATATAAATATATATATATATATATAAAATAAAAAAAACAATATAATGTAACGCAAAGTATAAGGCTTGCATTTACGAGCGGGATATATCCTTAATATGTGTATGTTATCACTAATTTGCAAAGCTAAACTAAGTCCATGTATACAGAACAGAAACATATACATATATACACCTATATATATATATATATATATATATATATCCAGATCCAGACATGATTACACACAAACACACACTATATTGAATGTTTTTGCTTGTTAAAGTGAATAATAAAGAAAGAAAACTAACAAAATGATCTTAATTGTAAAATTTTTATATAATTTTCATTAAAATATTATTTATAATTTTTATTATCACTCTTGTAATCTAAATCCTAATCCTGGATCCTGGATCCATGCTAAGAATTATTCTGCTTCTCCAGCTTATCCCTTTTGGTCTGCTGGGCTGACAGGTGGTTCTGAACGAAGCTCTGGAAGTTCTGATCCTCCATCGGTTCCTTGGGATCCAGTTCCATGTCTTCTGTCTCGTCTTCGGCTTCCTGCGGCACTAAGCCAGGTGCCATTAGAAAGATTCCGTTTCCAGAGTGTGGAGGTGGATCCTTAGGAACCAAAAAGGAAAGAGGATTAGCTAAAGCTTTTACTTTTCTTAGCATCTTACTTTTAGACCCAATCCCAAGGGCACTGGCACTCCAGATTCCGCCACATTGACAGCCGGCTGGGGAGTAGCTGCTTCTTGGGCCAGGCGTTCTTTCCTCATCTTCTCGTAGACTGGCTTGTAATCCTTCTCGTACTCCGACACGCACTCCAGAACCTTCTGCAGGAGCTGGGCAAATCCCACGCCTGTTTTGGCGGAAACGCCACAGGTGGTCAGATTTTCGTAAAAGGTGTCCAGGGTGAGGGACATGGTGCGGGTCAGATTGCTCACGAAGCTCTGCTCCTCCTCCAGAGCCTCCTGGTACGTCTCAAAGTCCGTCATCCAGTCCTTGATGAAGCTGCAGTCCTGCAAGTCAATCTGGAAATCATGGGATTAAGAATTGAGGACAGAAAGGGTTATCCACCAGAGGTATACCTTATTAAGGGCCACCAGGAAGGGCAGACGGGTCTTGTACAGGATAGAGCAGGCGTACAGCATGTTGGACATGAATGTGGTGGGACAGGCGCTGCGCACCACATCCATAACATAGACCACAACGGTGGGAAACAGGGTGGCCAGGCCCTCGGTGATTATGTTACCGGAGGCGGACCAGGTGAAGACCTCGATCTGGCCGGGAGTGTCGATGATACACCACTTATGGCCTCGCTCTCCAGCGCGACGCACCAGCTCCGCAAACTGGGCCATTTTTGTGGTGAACATGTTTAGGGCAGTCACAATGCCACCGTTCGGTCCCAACTGGTACTGCTTCATCACCTCACGGTAGTTGACCGTGTCCCGGATGTCGACGTGCGCCGCATAGGGCACCTCCCGACAGGCGGGATCCAGATTAACCACATACGGATTGAATTTCTCCTGGGCGTGCTGGATGAGACTTTTGGTGAATGTGGTCTTGCCGCTGCCGGCCATTCCCAGGACAATGATGCAGACGGGAAAGTCGCGGATGCCCTCGCTGATGGACAGAGCCTCCAGCTTGATGCCCTCCAGTCCGGTGGCCATATCAGGATCGGGCACTTTTCGTTTTCACGTGAAATCAAAATCAGAAAGTCGGCGGCGCAAAAAACAAACGTGCGGCTGTCAGAGATGGGAGATGGAATTATCTCAAGTCTTATCGATAAATTGGATATATCAATTAATTTAATCTTATTAAACTTATGTAATAAATATGATTTAAACCATAAAAAATGTGCCTTCTTCAGGATATTTTGTCCTTATTTTAATTTTATTTAACTGCTTTGACACAGCGATACATTTATCGATTTATCGATTGCATATTATGCCCAAACTGTCATCACTAGAGCATTGCCAGTGGAGAGACGCGCCAAATATATGAAATAATTGAAAAATAGCAATTTAAAACGATGGAAACACGTCTGGAAGTGCGCCTCGTGGAACCTAATCCGCTATTTACTCGCTGGCTGGAGCGCTGGCTACGCGAAGCCGAGAGACGAAATCAAAAATCTCAATTTAAGTTACGGCAGGCTCTGGAGGCCCTCAAAAGCTATCCTCTTCCCTTGTACAGCGGTCGGGATTGCGCTATCTTGCGTGGATTCGGTGGCAACCTCTGTCAGCTTATAGACGAGGAGTTGCGCCAGCATCGGGGTCTCAATTTGATGACGGCCACCACGACGGCAGCCACCAGTAGCGTGCAGTACGAGCAACAGGTGCAGCAGGTGGTGAAGAAAGTCCAGGAGGCGCAACAGGAGCAGAGGATGGCGAAACAGGCCAAGGCCAAACAGCCCAGGGCGCCCAAGCCCAAGAAGTTGACCAAAAAGGAGCTAATGGAACTGGCGGCCGCCGAGGAGCGAGAACGTTTTGTGGAGATGGTGCCGGGCTCCTTTGAAATTCTCCTTCTGGTGGACACCCAAGAGACGAGTGGCAAGAACAAGAGGGTGCTGGACCAGACCAGAAGCTACCTGGAGTCGTTCGGAGCGAAACATGAAGTACGGCGCCTCACCATTGGTGACTTTTTGTGGATAGCCAAGGATCGGGCGGGCAACGAGCTGGTGCTGCCCTATATTATCGAACGCAAGCGCATGGACGACCTGGCGTCTAGCATACGCGACGGTCGCTTCCACGAACAGAAGCATCGTCTGAAGCAGAGCGGTCTGAGGCATGTGATCTACCTGGTGGAGGATTACGGCGACAATGAGCAGCTTGGGCTGCCCCTGGACTCTCTGCAGCAGGCACTGGCCAATGCCAGGGTGCAGACGGGTGTGCAAGTGGTGCGCACCGAGAACCACTTTCGATCGATGAGCTACTTGGCCTCCATGACGCGTTCTTTGCAGCAGATCTTCGCCAGGAAAACTCTCCAGAGTGTGGAGAGAAGCAGTGCACCCAGTTCCGACTGCCTGTTGACCTCCTCCACTATTGGGTTGCTTAAGTTCCGGGCTTTGTACGAAGACTCTGCCAAAAATGCCCAGCTTACTGTGAGGGAGGTCTTTGTGCAGCAACTCCTACAGCTTCATTCCCTGTCCCTGGAACGAGCCATCGCCATTGTAGAGATCTATCCCACGCCCCGTCTGCTACTGGAGGCGTACGTCGAGTGCTCGGGACCGAAAGAGGCCAGCCTGTTGCTGGCGAAGATCCCATGCGGGCCGCTGGAACGGCCGCTGGGCGAGAAGATCAGCCAGTGCCTGTACGAGTTCTACACAAATGAGTTTCGTTAGGATTAGCAATTGATTTAATGGGACATATCTAAAGTTATATACACGAGTTTATACATTAAGTGAGACTGAAGAGAATACATCGATTCTGGACATCATTGGAATAGTGCGAGTCTAGTCTAAGCCGGAATGTACAAGTCGCCTAGATGTTGCGGAAGTGCCGGATGGCGAGATCCACCGGCAGGTCAAAGTCGAACCGCGACAGGGCGTCGATGGAGCGCAACGAATCACGAAATCCTGTACGCGCCACATAACTGCTGGAGGAGTAGTATGTGTCCACCAGTTCGTGGCAGCTCAGTATAAGATTGAGCCACTCCACCAGCAAATGGGAACTGTAAGATTCCAATTCAAACATTAAACATGAGATTGAAGAACACGATTTTCCAGATAACACTCACTTGAGTCCGGCGCAGACAAAGGCCTTGAAGTGGGCGTTGTTGCTCCGCTTGTAGGGACGGTGCATGGCCAGGATCATGCCCACGGCACTGAGCAGGCTCTGCTTGGCGGTGACCGCCTGGGCATCGACAATGTCCAGCTGGAAGCTCTGCGACAGCTTGCGCGCCGGCGTATTATTGTATTCCTCGCCGTTCTTCAGTTGATAGTAGGCCAGTACCAGTTCCCAGGCGTGCATGGCTCGACCCAGGCCGAGGCCACCCATTCCCAAGAATTGCGAATCTCCAGCCGCCGACGGAATCACCACAGACGGCGGCCCCGGATGCAGGCATCGCATAAATGGCACCATTAAACTAGATGCCGCCGATTCAGCCGGAATCCGCAGCCCGTGCTGGATCAGTTGCTGCAGCGTGCGGGCAAAGTTCTTGCGCACCACAGTGGTCAGCTCCCGACCGATCGTGGCTATCGAATCGCCTCGCATGTGGGCTATCCGCCGGCTCTTGCCTTCCTTCTCCCACTCAAAGTTGGCATAGGATATGTCCTCGTCGGAGTCGGAGGACACGGCACCGCTGCCGCCGGCGGCATAGGGCGCCAGCTCGTGGCCAGCAGCCACTGCCCGTCGACATCGGGGCGGCACGGTGGTCAGGGCTCCGTTCTGGGCATTGATGGCCGTGCCAGTGGAGTTCTCCGTACGTTGCTGCCTCAGAGCACGCTTGATGTTGGCCAGCTTTTCACGGTCGCAGCTCAAGGTGGCGGCCAAGGCGGCCACCTCCTGGATGTCCACCTCCAGCTGGGCGCGCAGATCCCTGAGAACAGACAAGGTGAACTATGATTTCATTTCTTATTTTAAATTTTTAAAAAAATTTAGAATTAAGAACTTAAATATCATAATCTGCTAACAGAATAATTCCAAAAGCTTTTATTTTTGATTTTTTTAAATTAAAAAAATTAAATATAGTAATTTTTACTTAAATTTAAATGCAGAATTATGAAATATCGATCCACAAATCGATAAAGGTCTTCTGATCAAGAATCGGTTGAAAAATGGCAAAGATATATCCGTAGATATATCTATATGGGTCAAATATGGGCATCTGGTATATGGTATATGGGTATTATGGGAAGGCATTCCCTTACAAAAATTGAAAAAATGTCTAAAAAATATTTTGCATCAAGCTTTTGATGTAGAAAAATGAAAAATCGATCTACAAATCGATTAAAATATTCCGATCAGAAATCGGATAAAAAATAAAAAAGATATAGTCTTGGGAAGGGGCCATATATGAGAAGGTAGGGTTTTAATAGAATTCTTCCTAAGAAAATTGGAAAAATATTAAAAAAATATTTTGTATCAAGGTTTTGATCCAGAATTACTCAAAATCGATTACTTAATCGATAAAGACATTCCGATCAAGAATCAGATGAAAATTGGCTGAAATATAGTTATAGATATAGGTCATAAATGGAAATCTATAATTTTCCAAAGGGGTTCCATCAGAAAAAAATTGAAAAATATCTAAAAAATATTTTCTACTCAGATTTTGATAGGGAATTATCAGAAATCGATATACAAATCGATAAAGGTATTCCGATCAGGAATCGGATAAAAAATGGCAGAGATATAGTTATGGATATGGGTCATATATGGGATTAGATTGTTTTTTTCAATGGCTTTCTCTAAAAAAAATGGAGAAAAAATCCAAAAAATATTTTAAAATCAGATTTTGACGCAGAATTATAGGAAATTGATCCACGAATGAATAGAGGTATTCCGATTTAGAATCGGATGAAAATTGGAAAAGATATAGCCATAAGAAGTAGTCATATACGAAAATGCAGTATTTTTCAAGGGCTTCCCCTACAAAAATGGGAGAAAAATCTCAAAAATATTTTAAATAAGAATTTGGATCTAAAACTAAAGAATTTGGAAATCGATTAAAAATCGATAAAGATATCGATCAAGAATCGGATAAAAGCTCCAAGGATCTGGAAAAAGTAAAATCTCAAAAATGAATAAAAAAAAGTAACTCCTCTAAAATTAAAAACAAAAAATATTAAATTAAAAAATGAACAGCCTGGAGTACTCACCCCCAGTGGTTGCCTTTGTGCGTCTTCTTGAGGGAGTTCTGCTGGAAGTCGTCGTGGCGCGGCTTGGCCAGGTGCGTGCTGGCGAACATCTGCATCAGGAGCGAGGCCTTGTCGAGGAGGCCATGGGCCTTGCTGTGCAGACTCTCGCCGGGGCCGATGGATCCGCCGGCCGACGACGAAGTGGCCGGCGGAGGAGCAGCTGCCACGGGAGCAACAATGGGATGGGGAGCTGCCTGGGAGATCTTGGCCGTCTGCTTGGCCGCGTAGCTGTTGTAGGCGCCGGATAGAAGCTTCAGACGATCCCCGGCCGATCCCTGATCGGCATCGCACTGCAGGAAGGCAATGAACCGCTCCAGATCGGTGATCTGAGTCTTCAGTTGGGCCACCAGCTGCTCCTTCATCTTCAGAGGACCGACAAACTCACCGATGGCATTGTCCACCTGGTGGCGCAACTGCTCGGTGCTGAGGGCTGGCAGCTCGTGCTGCTCCACCTGGAGGTTGAGCTTGGAGCGCAGTTCGTCGAGGATGAACTTCTGTTTCTCGAGCAGGACCTGCTGGGGCAGGATGCCAGGCTCACCGGCCTCGTAGGCCAACTGCTCCAATTCCGTCAACTGGGACTTGAGTTGTTCAATCAACTGGCTGTCGCTGCCAGGCTCCTTTTCGTTGTCCTTCTCCATTGATGATGATGTGGATTCTTTGGGTTGCGCCGCCTCCGGTATGCCCTGGAAGGCGAAATCATCAAGGTCGCGCAGCAACTGATCCCGCTCCTCCGCCGGAGCCTCAACAATCTGGCGTACTCGCAACTGGACATGGGCAAAGTGAGAGGTCAGCGCCAGCAGGGAGCTGGTGAGCAGCTCCTGCTCCTCCTCGATGCTTCTCAGACGGGACAGTTCACTGCCAGCACTGCCACGTCGTGTCTCCGATTTGCCATCCAATACAGTTTCCAGTTCACCACAATCCACGCCAGAACTGGCACTATTGGCATCATCATAATTGGCGCCCAATGGAGACCAGCGTTCGCTCAATAGCTCCTGCTCCTGTTCTTGCTCCTGTTCCTGCTCCTGCTCTGGTTCCACTTGTCCTGCTTCCTCGTCGAGCTCCTCTTCGACGGAGCCAGCTGCCAGCTGCTGGCCTTCGACCCTGAAGGCACATAATACCGAGTCCTTGGACTCGTGCACCTCCTGGGCCTCCGCCATTTTCATTTCCATATGGAAATCCTGGAGATGGCTTCTTCCTCCTTTCTTCTGGGGTTTGTTTTTAAAGTTTTTAGAAGAGGTTCCTGAACGTGGTCCGAGAAAAATCAATTGGTGGCTTGTTTCGCTTTTTTTTTTTTGTGTGCCAGCTGGTCGAGCTCCCTGGCTCTTTCTATCTCCCTCTGGCCTGTTGTATCTTTCTCTTTTACTCGTTGGTTGGCTTTCTCTTTTTGGCGGCCACGAAGAGCGCGCGGCGACGGTTTCTGACGCACTGACATCTCGATGGCAGCCACTTGGGCCACCAGGAAGCTTTCCTCAATGGATTTTCACTTTTCACTTTGGGGGATGAAAGCTTTGAAGTTTTCCTTGGAGCTTAGTTGAGCTTTTTTATCCACCCTGTGAGCAAATATTTGCTTAAGCTAGGGTTCTGGAAAGCTTTTCTCCTAAGGATACAGTTTTTCAACCAGGAAAGCTTTTAATAAAGATTGAATAGCTTTTAAAGCTTGAGCTTAGCTTTTCATCCCTTAAGTATTTTTTCAACTTGCTTTGAAAGCTTTATATTTTATGCTTTAAAGCTTTTTAATATCTTATCCTTGTTTAATATATATTACAACCCTTAATTCCTAAAGCTTTGGAGCTTTGCAACCCTTGTGAAAATGGTTGGTAAACTTTGAAGCTTTTATCCTTTCAAAAGCAAACATGTTTTAACTTGAATTTGGAATGTTTTAATGAGGAAAAAAAATAATATTTTATATAAAAGGATACTCTAAAAGGTAAGTTTTGGTTTAAACTTTAATTTAATAAAAATAGTTAATTATTACTAAAAAAAAAATGGATAATAGTCCTTTATATAAAAATTATTATTTATATTCAATTAAAACTATATACCAACTAACCCAATTGGTAGGTTTGTTTATAGTTTTTAAAGCCAACAGATAAGCAATTAAATCATAAAAATTTTAAAAATTTTTTTTAAAAGTATAAAATTTCTTTTTAAAAATTAAACCCTAAACTTTTCCTAAAATTTCTTCTTAAAATCTAAATAATAAATGCTTTAAAACTTTTAAAATCAACAAGTGGTCATCTTGAAAGTCAGCTGCTGGACATGCAAGGACCTGTAGGAGCTAGGGATATTTTCAGGGAAATTCCTAGCTTTAAGCTCTTAATTGTCACAAATCATAAGCTTTTCACCATTTTTCCATTCACCACGTCCCAAAGTTGTCACCAAAGTCGCCAATTTGTTATTATTCCAAGGGGCGGGGTATCAAACATATATATTGTATATATATATTAGACAATTATGACCTACATTACCAAAAGAAGTAAGAAAGATTGACCAGGAAAGGATAGCACGCGGCTAGAACACCTTTAGGGGGGGCGGGGAAACTGATAAGATAATAGAATGCCCGTTTGAGTGGCCGATAAGAAGCTGCCGGAGATTAAACCGCAGTCTAGTTTAGTGGGGGGGGGGTTTCTGTTTGATTCTGTTTTAGATTCCGGGATTGGGTTTTTGGTTTTGTTGACAAGCACATTCTTATCAGTTGGAAGGGGGGGTTGGGGAAATATTATCAAGTCTATCAAGTGTCTGACGCAGCAAGACCATGGCGGTCATTTCGGGGTCACCTCACAAATCATTGGGGTTACCAGATGGGAATATATGAGAATATATATGACTTTTCTTGAGAATTTATTAATGTTTGATGGTCTAGAGAGAGTATATCTTTTTTAATTAAAAAACAGTTCATAAAATCCCCCTTCTCCAAAAGCCTTTAAAAATTGGCTTTGTTTCAAGAAACTTATTCGTGTGTTTTTAACTTTTAAACATTTTCTAAAGTCTCTTGCCAAAAAAAAAGTTAGTATAGACTCTGAGTTCAGTGTGTGTGTGTGTGTGGTTACAACTTATTTATTAAAAAAAGAAAAAAAAAAAACAGAATATAATAAAGATTTTTTTTTGGGGAAAAGAGGATGTAGGATGTTGGGGATAGGATAGGAATGTTAGGAAATAGGTAAGAAAGCGAGAGCTTAACGAGGCGTCAGATTGTTCTTTCCACCGTCGACTGGGAGTAGGGCACCGGTGGTGAAGCTGGCCTTGGAACTGGCCAGGAATGCCACAGCTTCGGCCACTTCCCGGACATCGCCGACACGGCCCATGGGATGGGAGTTGATGGCGCGCTGGAGCATTCCATTGTACTCATCGCCCACAATGCCAATATTCTGATGGATGTTGGTCACCACAAAGCCGGGATTCACGGAGTTAACCCGGACACCTTGGGGCGCCATTTCGAGGGCCACAATCTTGGTGAACTGATCGAGCGCCGCCTTGGAGACACCATAGCTGAGGGCACCGGCAAACGGACGGATGCCGGCACAGCTGCTCACATTCACGACCGCGCCCTTGGTCTTCAGGAGGTGGGGGAGAACGGCCTTGGTCAGGAGCACGATGCCGCGCAGGTTGGTGTTGAGGACAGCATCGAATTCCGTAATATCCAGATCGATGAGTCCGCCCTTGCCGAGGATACCGGCATTATTCACCAGGACATCGATCCGGCCGAACTTGGCCAGAGTTTGCTGGACAATCGAGTCAGCATCCTTGGTCACATCCGCCACCACGATCTCAGCCTTTACGCCCTTCAGATTCTTCTTGGTGGCCTCCAGATTGGCGACATTGCGTCCCACCAGGGCCAGGGTGGCTCCCTCGCGGGCCAGCACCTGGGCAATGGCAGCTCCGATTCCACTGCTGGCACCCGTCACGATAATCACCTTCTCGCTGAGACTCATCTTGGAAAACTGGAGCCGGTGAATGCTTCGGTTCGGAATTTATTCGGAATTTGAGTTCTCCCTCCGCCTCCACCTGGGTGCTACGGAATCTGATTAGATTACGGCCACCCGCTCTCCACACTGCACTCGAAGAAATATTATCTCCTCCGGGAGAGCAAAGTAAATAAATGGATTTATTTTTGGGTGGGTTCTTTTTATGGGCTGGATTAACGGAAAGTTTTCGGATGAAAAGGTACAGTTTTAAAGGTCACCTTTTGGGGTTTTAAAAATATATTATAATATAGTGTTACTTGGTGATGCTAATATGGTTAACAAACTTTGGAAAATATCATTTTTTGAGACTATAAATATTTTTTCAATTTTAAAACCTTTATTTTGAAATATTTATAAGTCTTTTAAGTCTCTAATTATTTGATAATTTTAAAAAATCCATTATCAAATAATCATTTTATATCTTTTTTTATTAAGGTAAGTAGTAATATATTTTAGAAAATATCATTTTTTGAACAAGAAACTTTAAAATATTTTGCAATTTTGAAGCTTAATTACATAAATTTTAATATTTATTCGTTTTTTTTAGTGTATAAAGCCTTAAAGAACTTAATGCTTTGTCTTATTTATAAAGGTAAGTAATGATATGCTTTCAAAATATATGTTTTTGATTAAAAAAACTCAAATATTTTAAAACCTAGAATATTTTTAAAGTTTGGAAACTTTTATTATAATATTTGATACTTTAAGTTTTAAAAAGTTTAATAATTTCTTATTTATTTAGGTAAGTAAAGATATTCTTAAAAAAATATACTATTTTTCATTAAAAAACTAACTTTGGAACAAAAATTTCAACAAAAATTTCAATAAAAAAATTCCAAGTTTGAAAACCTTATTTTTGAGATTTTATATTATAATACTATACTTCACATTATTTAATTTTTATAAATATTTCCATATTCTATATGTTTCTCTCAGTGTAACATGACGCAAATCAAAGTCAGCTCTCTGGGAAAAAACAACCTGTAGAAGTTCACCTTGGAAACGTTGCCGGGTTTCGGATTTTCGATTATTAGATTCTCTAATTCTCTGATTCTCTTCCAAGTTCTTGACATGTCTTCTCTTCCGATAATCTCAGCAATGATGGCTCTTTATCGAGGCCCTGGCATCGCATTAGAGGCCCGGCTAGCAGAATGTTTGGCTTCAAAAAAAAGTCCGAGTCAGAGCCAAAAAAAAAAAAAGTTTTTAATTAAAAGTTTGTCTGATTTCGGGCATTGGTGAAATCATGGAACCCACTGGTTGTACCAAAAAAAAAAAAAACTGTGTACTTTATCGCCTAGAAAAGACGGGCCTCCCAAAAACAAACTGAGAGCCCCCCTCCAAATAGTCAGAAAAGAAAAAAATAATAAAACTTGAACTTCAAGTTGAGCGCCTCCGTTGTCAGATAATTAGCATTTTCATTTCGGGCCGAGTGCTAGCTCGTATATCAACGCCTTTTGGACATGAAGATAAGGTTCCTCCGGGTTGGAGGAGCTTTGGAGGACACACACAGTTCAAGATTGTACTACAGTGGATACTCAATAGCATAAACTACACTGGCTTATAGCTTGACATTGTCATGCTTGATAGCTTCACTGTAGTATTTCGAGATGATTTCTCTGGAATTTGATGAGATTTTCGCACAAATTGTTTTCTCAAGCCACGGCAATTAATCAAAATCTATGACTAAGTAGATTAATTAATTAAAATAATGCCAGTGCTGTACACTCGGAGGAAAGTTTTCATTTCGATTGTCTGAAATTCATACTAAATTAGCCAACTCTGAGAATATTTAAGCAATAAAATGCCATATCGTTGATTTAATGATTTTAATTAATACCCTTGACATGCCTGGAAACATGCCTGGATAAAACGATGCCTTTTCTCGGATTCAAAGGCCAAGTGATGTGGCAACAAGTGGGTGTGTATGCCTTTGCCATGATGATGGTAGTCCTTGAATGGAGTCACCATCAGGTCAGAGAGCACTTCAGCTCACACTTTTCCATCCAGAGTCCAGAGTCCTTTTACGGGGGCCAACAAGATAAGTCCGGAATGTCAATTGAAAGCCATCTGCCGCCTGCATTTGTTGCCTGATTTCTTTGGCATTCACTTTCACGCCAAGTCAGTGCCAGGATACTAAAGATAATCAATTCTAGCTTCAAGTCCCATGATGCATTGATAAGAGTTTCTAGCGGTTTATGGTAAGTGATGGTCAGGGATTCGTGTAATTGACAGTCGAAATGAAATTGCATACAAATTGCTTAATCCTAGAAGACTTTCAATCTAAAATAAATTAAATTTTAATTAAAGCAAAGCAAAAAAAAATAAAAGAAATAAAGTAAAACTGAAGATAGAACCTGAAACTCAATGGTCGGTTTCCATGCTTGCCAATATTTAAAAGAAAAAAAAAAAGAACTAAAACTACAAACTACAAAAAATAATTTAAATAGTAGATATATATATACAGAAGTTTTGGGATTGCAGTCGGTTTACTTCAGAACGGCTTTGTTTTTCAGCGGCAAGAAGGCGGCCATTATACAGCCAGCTGGAATATAAAATAAAAAACAAATTAGTCACATATCCCCATTAAAAATTATAAAGAAAAACAAACACTTACAAAACATAAACAAACTAATCATAAAGAAGGGTGGAACACAGCCCAGGCCCATTAGAGCTGGGAAGAATATATTGCCCAGCAGAGAACCCAAACGACCAAACATCATTTCCAGTGATACAATCATGGTTCTAAAAAAAAATAAAGAAATTATAAGGAAATTATCATTTAAAAGCTATGTTAACTCACCTTAAGGAAGTGGGAAATAGATTAACTGAGGCACTGATCACCGATGTGGCCGATATACTGCCCATGGTCACAAATAGCGAGGCTATGGCGACCGTGACAACTGCCGAATTGGACCAATACATGCCAATCGACAAACATCCAGCACAGAAAAGGCCCAAGGCTGAAAAATGAGAGATTATTAAAAAAATACTAGAATAATTAAAACGCCACAATAGACTCACTCATTATCCGCTTAACGCCAACGAGATTGACCAAAAATCCAGCCACCATATAGGCCACTAAGCCGGCAGCGGCAACAATCAAATTATTGGTATAGGTCGAGGGTGTTATATTAACTTTGCACACCACATCGGGGTTATTGAGAGCTGCGGCAGCTAGTTGTTGTTGAGTGCGATTGACGCTGTACTCCAAAATATTGCAAATAGTTGTTGATTCGGTCTGATCCCCCATTATGTTCTGGTACTCATTTATGGAAGCGAAAAGTTGTGGCAGCCACAGGCGCATAGTATTCTGACTACAGGGTATAAGGTTTATTAAAAAAATTGTTAAAAAAAAATAAATAAAAACCATTACTCACCCTAAGAGGACACAAAAGTTGAGAAGGTAGACCCAAAGTGACAGGCCCAAATAGGGTTTACGGAACAAGGGACGTAGCTGAGAGAATCCTGAGGATTTCTTTGCTGGCTTGGAAGCCTGCTCAGGATCCTGATCCTTGACTTCATTGTTTTTAATTTCAACAACAGCTTGTTTGTTTTCTTTGTGTTTTTTAACCGGAACTATCACTTCATTGGCCAACAGTTTGATCTATTTTTAGGAAAATATTTTGAAAAACTCTAAAATTTGATAGAAAATCCTAAAGACTTACTGGAAAAGAGTCCTTGGGTTTGCGGGTATTTAAATGATAGATAAACTGAAAGGCAGCCATGGCCTCGTCATTACGTCCCTTGGACATCAAAAACTTGGGGCTCTCGGGAAAGAAAAAGAAGAGTATGGAGCTCAGGAAGCTGGGCAAGGCAGTGATGGCAACAAACACCTGCCACGATGTAACTGAAATCAAAATAAACATTTAATTATGGCTATAATCGGTAGTGTTTACTATTTGTCTAGCGTGTGAGGTCCTAAACCTCAGAATATTATCTAAGATTTTATAATCGGAATGGATCTCGATTATAAAATCTGAGGGCGCGTTCCCTTGGGGGATGGGGCCTCCAAACATCAGCTGTTTCAAATGCTATTCTAGTTAGCCAGGTAGCTTATCAGTTATCCGATTATCTGATAATCTGATATCTTTATCACTACGACACTATACCACCATATAGTACGTAACACACCCTCGAGACTTACGCGATAAGTTCCAAATTTGAATATCCCATTCCTGGGGCAAAATCAGCATGGCCAGACCCGGTAGGGTTAGAGTGGCTATCGAGAACATAATGCCCACGATCATCATTATTCGCTGGCGATGCTGTCTACCATGGAGTTCCGTCAGATACGTCATCAAAACGGCAAACGGTCCACTCATGCTACAAAAAAATGTGAAATATTTTTATTAAAAATTTACTTAAGAAATGATAATATTTACCAGAAACCTCCCAGATATTTGAAGATCATCAACTGTAGCACCGACTGGCTGAGAGCTCCTCCCAGGACGCACAAAGTATCGGCGACGTATCCGAGAATTAGTAGATTTTTTCTGCCCTTTGTGTCCGCAAAGTAGCCCCACATCACCGCCGAACTGATCATGCCGGCATATGTGATCGCATTCAGTACTCCCTTGTCCAACAGGCTTAGCTGTAGGTCGCACTCGGCACTGGGCAGGATGAAGGACATTGTCGAGGTCTCGTACACGGTTCCCATCGCGGCAGGTACGGCGGATATTAGCAACAGTATGTTGAACATCCCGAAACCGGCGGAATCGATGGCCGACTCGAAATCGGCAGGCGTGGGCGTTGGTGGCTCTGATTTCTGGCTGAGATCGGTCTCGGAATGCTCCGCCTGTTCGGCGATTTTGGGGAGCTTGGAGTCACCGGTTGATTCCTCGGAAGTCATCGTGCTTAGTGCTTGGATCGCCTTTGCTAACTGAAGTCTAGGCGTTGGGCGGTGCGTTATATCTTACCGCCTGGCTAGAAGGCGTTGGGGCCTCAAATCAACCCTGTTGACAGGGGAAAACACGCGAGATGCTGTACTATGACGTTTATCTGGCGACTGAAGATTACCCTGTATCACTTAAGGAGTTATCATTGTTGAGGTGGGGGTTTCTTAACAAAATTATGATTGGTGACCCCGACAGTGTGTGATGGTGACCCCAACTGTTTATAATTTCCTTGGATATAAGCCTTTAAATCTATTTATTTGTAAAGCCTTAAAGCGAGTCCCTTCTCGTGCCAACCAACTGACCCCACCAGCTCACCCTTTTCTGAATCTCATCAAGCCCCTCTATTTTGGGGCCTGGCATGAAAACAATTAAACGCCTCCCTCTTTGTTTATTCGGCCGTTTATGGGGCTCCCAATCATCACCCGAATCAGAATCAGGTCCGTAATGCCAGTCTCTGTATCAGGCACCTTGTCGTTTGCGATCACTCCACAGCCGGCTGTCCACGCGAATGAAGCGGCTTTATGGCCGCCGTGATTCGGCTTACTGATTTGTTGTTTATCCAAAAACATGGACACGCAACCCTGAGGGTATATTGGATTTTCAGTTCACACAAAATAAGCCAAGCAAGCCTTATGAAAAGCTGCAAATAATTACTTTCTAGTTGTATGATTCATATTAGATGTGTGATTTCGTACAAGATAGGGTGCTTTGAAATATTTTTAATAGAAAAGCTTCTATATATTTTTTATTTTTCTTAAATGTGTAGTTTCTCTATTCTATATTTTATTTCTTAAATGAGTTTTAGCTTATAATAATAATAGTATATTTGTTTATCTAAGTACCGGGTATCTTATAGTCGTTGTAGAGTTTTGTATTTTATGACCTACGCCTGTTGTGATTGTGGCTCCTATGACGACACGGTCCAGCTCTTAGCTCACAGCTCCCGTTTCCCCAAATTTGTAGTCCGGGCCCGTGTGTATCCCATAACCGTTTACCATTTGCACCCGCCAGTTGGCAGTTACCAGCTTGGCAACGAATGGTGGCAATCCGTAACCCTTTAATCCCATACCCCATACCCCCATCCACCATGTACCCTATATCTGGACAGAGAACATAGCGCCACGTTGTCGTCGTCATCCATTGGGCTAAACTAATTACGATGATTACGGGTTTATGAGTTGGTTTCCCAAGCAAAACTTTTCGGGATTACGATTACTCATGTAGGAGCTTAGTGCTTCTGGTGGTCTGGTCTGGCTTGGATTCGGATTCGGATTCGGTTTCATTTTGGCGTGTGCTGTGATTTGTTTTCGTATAATTTCCATGAGAGATGAGGCACAGTGAGGCATACTCGTATATATAGATCAGGATCTAATAGTAATTCTTATGGATATGATTCAAGAGTAAATAAACACTAAAATTATAAAAAAAGATAACATTTAGTGACGTTAATGTCTGACGTTAATGAATTCCAAAAAAAATTTAATTAAGAAGAAATGTTAGTATTTTGTTTCCCGGCCACTGTCTGAGAGGGCCATGACCATGCCCAGTGGCGATAAAATAAAATGACGAAACCTACACAGCCCGGAGACTGAAATTTTTCCACGCTATAGTACAATTTGTTTAATTTCATCAGCACCGAATGCTGTCTACGAGAGGAGGAGAATGTTTATATAGCTGAGGGGAGGGGTGAAATCTTTACGCAAATTTTCTTTACGCTATTTTATCTAAGATAAACATAAACGAACGCCAAAAAGTTCGGTTTCACCATCTAGGATAGCTCGAAGAATTCCAGTTACTGTCCAGGAGGGGATCTGTGTGGGTGGTAATGGGGCCTGGGCTGGGGCTGGGAATCGGTAGTTAACGGCTTTGCATTTTGGACAGCGAACGTCACACAACTTGGCCAACAAATTGGACTTTTGTTTGTGTTTGTTAAAAGGCTTAATTTGTTGTGCTTGTCGGTCTGGCCTGGGGAAACATTATGAGAGGTTGCGTTGCGTTGTGTTGCAAGGCAGGACACGAACGTGAAGGGTTAAAGTGCTTCAAATAACTTGACGCCACCGTCGTCTACCCATTGAGAGTGAATGGTAGTGGGTGTTGAGGTGGGTGTGAGGTGTGTGTTGAGGTGTGTGTGTGTCTGCCTAAATCAAGCTCAAACAATTTCAACTATTTGAATTGTCGGAGCCAAGGCATTAGAGTGCTACACTCGCCCAAATAATTCAAACATGGCTATACTATTATGATGATACTGATACCCTTGTTTATTCGCCGTGACTTCAAGTGATTCATAAAAGAACGAGAGGGAGCTGAATATAAACAATTTTTTTTTGTTTTTAAATTAATAAACAAATATTTAAGACGAGATAAGCTCGAAAAGGCGGTTGCTATTTGCTTAATTCATCAAATATTTCAACGCTTTTTGTTCCCACAACTCGGCCAGGGGAATTTCTTGTCCGATTTTTTTAATTCAAATTTTAAAACTAATAAGGTTTGGGAATTAATAAATTTTATTTAATGACTTTTTGTTAGAGTTTCTAGAGTTTGAGATAATAATATTTATAGAATTTTAAAATCTTTAATCTTTACTCAAAACTTTAATTATTTTGAACTAAAACCTAAATTATATAAATTAAATAATTAACTAAGTCTCGAGTCGAAGGCCATAGCAGCTAGTACTCTTTTAAGAAACCCATTAGATTTAGTATTATATACTAGATTTAATTTTGTTAAAATAAAATAAATAAATATATAAATTAAAAATTATTCAAAATTAAATCATAAACTAGGTAAATTTAAGCTAAAAATCTTCTCTCAGTGCAGCATCCATACACGCACCCACACAAGTGCGTAGTTGCATGTGGCACTCAGCTGCTAACGACGTGCCCAAGTAAATGTCAAACTAATGCCCAAGCTCCGCACCGCAGGAGCCAGGATGCCAAGCCACGAAACCCACCTGCACTTTCATCTCCATCTCCTGCCACGTTTCCACGTCCCCACATCATCCCTTCATCCTTTTCGCCAGCTCCCCCATCCTCCATCCGGAAGGTACCATTTCACCGCAAACTATCGGCGACCATCGCCAACTCAATAATGTAATGTCCCTCATTGGCGCTTTAAGTTTATGTTCGCATGTACCGCACTGTACCCGGGCCTGTGTGGGTGTGTGCTGGCTAGAGATGTCCACGGGTATCGGTGTGATTCCCGATAACAGTTGGCGGGCACGGATCCGAAGCTTTTCTACCCACTAATACCTACTTTATACCGACACCTCAGAATCTACACTTGGGAAGAACAATGGCTATATCTTGGCCAATTCTTATCAGATTCTTATTTAAAATTTTCCTGGGGAGACCCCTTCAAAAAGTGGGATTTTGGTATATGCCGCCTTGGGATGGCTATATCTTGGCCAATTCTCATCCGATTCTTGCGGGGAATACCTTAAACGATTTGTGGATCGATTTTAAATAAATCTGCATCAAAATCTGGAAACAAAATATTTTTTAGATTTTTTTCAAAATTTTCCTGGGGAGACCCCTTCAAAAAGTGGGATTTTGGTATATGCCGCCTTGGGATGGCTATATCTTGGCCAATTCTTATCCGATTCTTGCGGGGAATACCTTAAACGATTTGTGGGACGATTTTCAATAAATCTGCATTAAAATCTGGAAACAAAATATTTTTTCGATATTTTTCAAAATTTTCCTGGGGAGACCCCTTCAAAAAGTGGGATTTTGGTATATGCCGCCTTGGGATGGCTATATCTTGGCCAATTCTCATCCGATTCTTGCGGGGAATACCTTAAACGATTTGTGGGGCGATTTTAAATAAATCTGCATCAAAATCTGGAAACAAAATATTTTTTCGATATTTTTCAAAATTTTCCTGGGGAGACCCCTTCAAAAAGTGGGATTTTGGTATATGCCGCCTTGGGATGGCTATATCTTGGCCAATTCTTATTCGATTCTTGTGGGGAATACCTTAAACGATTTGTGGGTCGATTTTAAATAAATCTGCATCAAAATCTGGAAACAAAATATTTTTTCGATATTTTTCAAAATTTTCCTGGGGAGACCCCTTCAAAAAGTGGGATTTTGGTATATGCCGCCTTGGGATGGCTATATCTTGGCCAATTCTCATCCGATTCTTGCGGGGAATACCTTAAACGATTTGTGGATCGATTTTAAATAAATCTGCATCAAAATCTAGAAACAAAATATTTTTTCGATATTTTTCAAAATTTTCCTGGGGAGACCCCTTCAAAAAGTGGGATTTTGGTATATGCCGCCTTGGGATGGCTATATCTTGGCCAATTCTTATTCGATTCTTGTGGGGAATACCTTAAACGATTTGTGGATCGATTTTAAATAAATCTGCATCAAAATCTGGAAACAAAATATTTTTTCGATATTTTTCAAAATTTTCCTGGGGAGACCCCTTCAAAAAGTGGGATTTTGGTATATGCCGCCTTGGGATGGCTATATCTTGGCCAATTCTCATCCGATTCTTGCGGGGAATACCTTAAACGATTTGTGGATCGATTTTAAATAAATCTGCATCAAAATCTGGAAACAAAATATTTTTTTTTAATTTTGTGATTTTGAGCCACACTTCCTGGTAGCCTGGCGCACGCTGCCATCACTGGGGAAATCCCCTCCCTTAACCCGTGCATGGTGCAAAGTTTTTGTGCAATTTATTGCATTTAACGGTCTCGAACAGTTAGCGACAATCCAGGTGGCCTGGGCAGGTGTGTGCGAGTAGCTGAGTGAGATTTTGTGTCGTGTGCCGGGGAGAACATAATAGAACAGAGGTGGCGAATGCCGTAAGGCAGTGAGGCAGGACTCTTGGAAATATATGGCTTTTGGCATATTAGGTATGGGGCTTAGATGGGTGGTATAGAGTTTTCCGGTCCTGGTTCCGGTTCCAGTTACCGTTACAGTTACAGTTCCAGCAAGTAAGCGAATTAATGCGTGAAGGCTATTAGCCTTGGTGCTTGGGATCGCGTGTTTTCATTTACCTTTCAGCTAGGTGTCGGCAAAAACCACTTACCTCTTGCCACTTGCCACTTACTGTGCTACCTGTTGCAGGATGTCTTGAAGGCAACACCTCCCACCGTCTCGTCTGTCAATCAATCATTTAATCAATCATCGAACAGAGATGACTGACACGTAATTGGATGGTTAAGAAACATGGCTTTAATCACTTAAATGGCAGTTGCCATGGCCAATAACAGGGCGATAACTTTATCGAAGTCGCCTAATCAAACTTTATGCCTAACGGGCGATTTTCGTCACGCCTCCGTGATTTTAATAGGGCGTAGTAGTGGGGAGTAGGTCCTTCCATTTTCTCCTTCCCAAGTTGCATTTTCAGTTCAATTTTTAGGGCACTGAAAGAAAATCTAGTTTAAGTTTTAGATTAAATATTAAATAATAATATATTTATTCTATACGTATTATAATAATTTTTGGTAATATATTTATAGTATTTTTAATATAATTATTATTACTATAAGATTTTAATATTTTTGCTTTATTAGTTATTCTTTATAATTTCTTCAAGTGTAATTTTCTTAAAAAGTTTGATGGCCCAATGAGTGAAAGCTGATGAAAGACTTTCTCTTCTGGGAAAACATTTTCATTATAATATAAATTTGAAATGAAACGATTTGTTTTTGATTGGAAAAAACAAAAAATAAAAAATTTCCTTTTAAACTTTAAATCAAGAAAGTGCTTATATTTTTTTGAAGTGATCTTTTCTTTTTTTCTGAAAGTTTTGTCACCACTTTGTTCTCATTCTTGTTGTTGTTGTTGTTTTGGTTGCACTGATGAGCTTAGGAGGATGTTCGAGCAGCAACTAACGGTAACGGTTAACGGTAACGGTGCCAGCTAACCGGGGTAATCCCCGGTAATGTTCGCCCCAAGGGTTAGCTCCCCTCCTTTCGCTGCTCTCTCCACTTTTCTGTCGCGGATGCATCACCTCCGTTGTCTCCAATTGGTGGTGGCATTTGCATTCTACGCTCTTCCTTCCTTACGTCTCTCCAGCGTCTGTCTTCCATTATCCTGCCAAGCAATTTGTACACACATGAACACTGAAAAAAATAATAAATGTATTTTATAAATTACAATTTTTTTGTTTGTTTTTTATTCAAAGGAATATTTACTGTTTTGGTTTAGCAGAGAAGCATCTGAAGGTATATACATACCTGTGTAGATATACCTGTGTATATATATGAATAGATAAATTTTAAGAATCTGAAAGGTAAGGTACATATATGTATCTTCTGAAAATGAATAAAAAACTTATTATTTTGCTTTTAATTTAACACACATTTAACATTGATTGACCATAAATTATTTATTATTAAATCAAACTTGATTTTTAAAACAATCTTAAAACAAATAAATTACAAACTAATTAAAAAAAAGTGTACAGACCACCGCCTGCCCAGCTGATCAATACCTATCGCTATTGCATAATGTACGGAATAATTTCGCATAATGTACTATAATGTACATACATTTTTCTCGAGGAGTTGATTTATATTGGAGATTATATTTCTTATTTTATTTTCAGCTTAAAACAGTCCAAACCCAAAGTCGGGTGTCTTCTTCAATCTTTTATTCGAATAAACATATGTATATCACTTTTAAAAAAACGATCTGCAAAACTGAAAAAAAAAATATAATCAATAAATAAATTTAAATTAATTTTTGATATACATGAGTTTCCAGTTAGTTAAAACAAAACTCGAATATGGTATATACCGATTGAACCACCATCCATCGCCATATTGGGATGCATAATTTGGATTTGGTATTTTATTTGAATATTTTATTTAAGAAAAACAATCAATAATTATACTTAAATTCTTATTCAGTTTTTAGACATTTTTTTTTATATTTTCTCCACTATTTAAGTCCATTTCGAGTCTGTCGCTCATTTAATCTTTTCTTCGGATTTGCATTAAAATTGCCTCGCCCTTAACATTATAATCCAGTCTATCGAAAAAAAAATTATTTAAAAATTAAAATAACTTTTCAAATTGGCAATATTATGGGAAACTGAAATACATACCCAGAACTGACCCACCAGCCAAAGCCCACTTCCTTCGCCCAATGGTGATTCGGATTACCGTCCTCATCTCGATCCTTTGTTGAGAACTTGGTGCCCTGGATTAGGTCGAACTTCTCTGTATTTCTAATACACCCGTCAATCTTCTTCAGCATGTAGCCTTCGCTCTTATCGCCCACAACGAAGGTTTTGCATTGCACTAGATAACCGATTCTTACCTCATGGGGCTTCCAATTAGTTAAAATATGTAATTTTTCAAGTCCCATGAACTTTTGACGCCACAGTTTTCCAAATCCGTTGATGTACTCCTCATATGTACGATTAAAATCCTCTGAATTTTCATGTTTCCAATAAACCTCCATCCACCCAGATCCAATCTTCTCATCTGAGTAACAACGCACCTGAAAAGGTTCCAATCCTGGGATTTGGATTTCTGGGTAGGAAAACATATCATCTTGGGTTTCTGGGCAACGATCTGGTAGGACTAAGACATTTGTTAATTAAATTCCGCATTATTTTGTTTTTCAAACTTACTTTCGATTGGTTTTTCTGAATTCGACGGACTCGTAGTAGTGTTAGTAGCTTCAATTTTCGTCACTGAGTTTACTTTGCTGTCATTGTTTTCTTTTTCAATTATAACCTCTTGGCCGCTTTTTGTTATTTTTTGTAGCTTTTCCAATTCTTCACTAAACAGATTCTTCAGCACGCTCAGTTCGCATGACTTTTTCAGATCAGATATTTCATCTTGCAGTTGAATAATTCGAGTACTTTGTTGTTCGATTTGAACTTTTTGCTTTTCAAATTCCAGATCTTTCTTTGCTTGCAAGTCCTTATTTTCGAGACTAACTTTATTCAGTTCGTCCTTAATTTTCGAATAGTTTTCCACAAGTGTTACATATTTTTCCTCAATCTTCGAGTATTTCTCCTGCAGCTCTGCATTCGTCCTGTCCTTCGTCTGGCAAACCTCAAAGTATCTTAATAAAGGTTTAACAATGGGATAACACACCGAAGCGCACTGATCCTCCTCTTCCTCAGATAGATAGCAGGACTAAGGAAAGTGTAGTAGTTTTGTTAACTTTTTTAAATTAAATCACATCACAGCACTATTACCTCCTGTTCGAATCCCAGGGCACAGGAAACAACTAATAGAAACACCGTTGGTAGCCTCATTTTAGATTTTTTGTTTAAAAAATAAACTTATATATTGAAGTGACAAGAATAATTCAAATGATGGATCCAAAGCCGTGGCTCTGGGTTTTTATAGCACTCCCGAGCTTTCATAGAGTCTCTTATCAGAGCCAATACTGGTGCGAGTGCTGTCTGTACTGTCTGGACTTTAAGTACTATATGCTGAGATTTAAAAATATTCAAAAATTCCCATCCAATGCTAAGGTGAAGGTTAAAACCATATTTTTATATATTTGATAATTTTCCAAACAATTTAGTGAGGAAAGTTTTATTTCTGAAAGTCGTAATATATTAATATTTGGATATAACTACAAGAAGTTTTGAAAGCATCGGAAAATATTTTAATAAGTTTAAGGAAAAATATGGGAGAGCTATAGAAACTACATATATAACTATATAGATACTATATATGTACATATATGTATGTACCCCTGAAGCTTATAAGTTTCTTATCAAAGTCAACGAACTTGTGAGCTGTCCTTGGCACTTGGGCTAATGGCACGTTTTTCGGAGAAAGTCAAAGGTTAACAAACAATTGATAAGCAAGCATAATTTTTGTTAGCTATTTAATAAAATAAATGAAAATAATATAAATATATATATGGGTAAAGAAATATGTTGGTTTTTTTTCGGTGCATCACCTAAGCTAGGGAAAAAGCACGCATCCGAATGGGGCAACACCGCGGAGCTAAGCCGTGCCACATGCTAAATCCTTTGTGCCTCTAATTTGTTATTGTATTGGGGTGCCAGATACCTCCATCTCCATGCCCTTCCCTCCCCCCAAACCTTATTTTTTTTTTTTTCTCTTGGTGGCCACTCAAATGTTGTATGCTGTTGTTGTCGTGCGTCCGACCACATGAGGCATTCCGCCGGCATTCCTGAATTTCGTTCCCTTTTGTCGCCTCTGCATGCCACGCCCTGAAACAAGAAACTGTGCAAAATTGTTAGATAGGGTAGGGGGGTAGGGGTGGTGGGCTACCGAAAAACAAAAGCCAGAACCGGTCCAGACCAAACAACATTTACACCAACAAGGCATAACAATGCCAAAAAAAAAAAACCAAAAAAAAAAAGGATGGCCGCCAAACGCACACATGTATGCGGTAAACAGGCGACAAAAGCGTTGACTTCAAAAAGGATTAAGGCTGCCAAGTGAACAATGCATATAGAAGAGGAAATGTCTAAGCTGGCTTATCCCGAAAAGATAACATAATGTAAGGCGCCTTCACTTCAATGAATATTAAGTATACGCCATGTGTGAAAAATATTATAAAATAGCTGCTTTTACTATATATTTTTTATATAATAACTTGGAACTTGGATATTAAATATTTCTTAGTGCTATTATTTGATTTTCCATATTTATAATTTATAAATATTAAATTTCTTAGCTTTTAATAAATGCATCTACAATTTTATGCAAAGTACATCTGTAAAAAATCTGTAAATAAATAACTGCAACACCATGTAGGCCCAAAAAAACTAAAAAAAGAACTGAAAATAGTAGAAAATATATAAAAATCTCAGTTTAAAAAAAATTAAATAAATATTAGGAAATTTCAGAGTCTTTAAATACTTTAAATTATCAAATATTAAAGCCAATATAAATTTTAACAAAAATTGTGTATATTATTATGTTTATAAACAATGAATGTCTCTAAAATATATAATTAAAAATTTAAGTCAGAGTACTTATCATATTATCAGAGTATTTATTTAGTGAGAGTAATTTTTGCCATAAAAAAATTACGTATACGACATGATAGCCAAGAAGGTGTATTATTTATATTTTTGGTAATATTATTTATTAACGTTTATTAAGTTTATTTAACGTTTTTTTTGTATATTTTTTTCAAGTGTAAAATTTTGTTAAGTTTGAAAACTTCTGACATTTTGGTGGGATGTCTGGTTTTTGCTTTTTTTTCGTTTTTCGTTACCGCTCTGCCTGCATGTTTATCAGCTCATCTCTAATGAAACGTTATGTTATGGCCCCTGCCACCCCTTGCCCGTTACGCCTCTCCTCCTCGTCCTCCTCTTGCCCTGCCCTGGTATATCCGGAAAAACTTTTTCCACCAAAATGCGTTGTTGATGGCAGCAGCTGACGCCGATGATGCTGCCACTGCCCCTACCACTGCCACTGCCGTTAACCGCCCACGCACATTTGCAGCGCCGAGCTTCATTAGATGCGCAAATGAACAGCCAGTGGGCGGCTTTGGCCAGTGGGCGTGGCAGGGTCTACTGGGTAGTAGCAAAAATTACACGAAAAGCTGCCACATCGGTCGCTAATCAGCGGAATATCTTTTGCAGTTTTTCTAAAAAAACATTTTAATTGAAATTATACACTAAACGATAAGGTTTAAAGGTCTAGGTAGATAGTTTAGGATCTATAGGATCTTTAAAAATATTTAAATTTTATTCAATTAATTTTAATTTATATTTAGGATCTTTAAAAATATTTAAATTTTATTCAATTAATTTTAATTTATATTTAATGAGCAAATAAGTTACTTACTGATTTTATTTAATATTTAATATATTTGTAGATTTTTTATTAAAAATTTTTAGGTCTATGCTTTCTAAAGATGGTTTATAAGATACATACTATCTACAAGATACAATTTTTTCTCAGTGTTTGTGTGTGAATTTTCACAGCTGGCGGCTAAAGGCTACCGACTGCCTCTTAACCCACTGACGCCCTCACGCCGCTGCACCTTTCCGCCCACTCCCGACCCACACGCTTAACCCTCTTGCGACTGTCTGACAGCGACAGCATTTGGTGTTTGGTTTTGGTTAAGCGTTTTGTTTTTGTTGCCATTTTCCCAGCCACCCCGTCCACCACCACTCCCCTGCTGAGCGGAGTGACCATCCGAGGCTTAACCCACTGCCGCCTGCAGCCGGGAGAACAGGATCTGCTGTAGAGTCGGGTTTACTTCGGTCAGGTTGCGTAGGCTTTAAGGGGCGGGGAGTATGTAGAGCTTCCACCTCCCTCCCACTTTTACACTTAACCCACTGATGACCCAGTGTGGTATTTGAAATCCGGCTTACTTAAATGATTTTTCGCTACTTTGAATCAAAGTGCATCAAAGTTTTAGCTTCGCCTGATTTATTTCTGCATTGCCCTTAACCCTATAAAGCCCTCATGCTCAACTTTTTTTTGTTGTTTAGGGTTATGTGGCTGGGCTGGGCAATCTGGCAGTTAATTGCTGCAGTTTTAGTTTCGGTTTTTGGTGCTGCTGTCGCCGCAGGGCTTTGTGTAAATGTTTCTGCCACATTCCGCATTTTCCTGCCGCACCCACACAGCCTGTACGACTAGTAGCCGGAATATATGTGTTGGTATATATGTATAAATAGTAGATTTTCCAAAAACCCCACCTAAAACACAGTGTGTAGTTGACACTTGTACACATGTGTTGTATTTTTGGTGAGCTTAAAAGTTGAGCGTTCATCCTGAAAGAGAGAGTTTTCACTAAATTCCAACGTACTTCTATATCTATTCCCATTCCTACATATTTCTAGTCGGAATGGAAAACAAATAACAGAATAACAAGTACAAAACAATCAGCAGCCGAACGACTGAAAGACGTTGAATAATAGATGCAAAGATACAATTGGCATGAGATTCAGAATGGAAAATAGATAACAGGAAGTTGGATTCAAATAGACAGGCAGCAGCACTGAGAGAAAATTTCAGAAATTTCTTAAGAGATTTTCAAAGCGATTTATTATCGATTACAATAAGACATTGGAATAGTTATCCATATTGTATTACTTTTTTTTGTATAAATAGTTTCTATTAATAGTTGAAAAAATGATTCAAAACTATTATTTAGATAAAAATGGTAAGCTCTCTAATTCGATTGTATTAATCGGACATCGAAATATCAAATATTCGATACAAAAATCGATAAATTCCAATAACATTTTAAATTTTAAATTAAATAAAAAGATATTGTATTAAAGGCATTAAAGGCATTTTTTTATAAAAGCAGAAACTTACTTTAAACGATTATTTCGATAAATATTACTATTTATTTACATTAAAAAATAAAGTAAAATAAAATAAAGGAAAACAACAAAGATAATTTTTAAAAATCAAAAAAAGTACATGAAAAGTGAAATAATTTGATATTATTTACAAAAATCAATGATAATCTAAGCATAATCGATAATTATCGATATCATGCTATTCTTGAAACTATCTAGTATTATTCAAACTATTTAACATTTCTCAAATTTTATCAACACGACAATTAAAAGCCAAATGTTTCTTTCACTTGTTCATAAACTTTTAAATTAATACGGAAACTTTGGAATCCTGTCCGATCCGGGTCGCTGGGGGATTAGCCAGGATATTCATTTGCCCCCCGTTGACCGTAAATTGCTTAGAAAGTTTTTGTCGCCCAAGTTTCGGGTTTTTGTTACAAATTAAATATGCATTTTCGAATGTGTCTTTTTAAATTCAAATCAAAGGCTAATATAATGATAATGAAAATGCATATGTAAGTGTCAAGTATTGTTAATAACAAAATGGAATATGAAAACCAAAGTAGTTTGAATACACAAGAATAGGGTTAACCACTTGAAATAATAATTTTTTGGTGCGGTTTTATTTATGACGTTTCTGTTTGGGACATTTAGGGACCAAATATCATTTGCAGCAAATCCTCGACTAATTGTTGCCTTTGCTTGGGTAAACCAAGTGGGATTACCACAAAACCCAACCCACCAACATAGCTTACAACATACATATATATACATATTTCTGACCCATTTTGTGATTTAGAAACTGAAAGCAACAACGGCACAAGAAATGTAGTTTAAAGTCAATAATGGACACATTTTTTGGTTTTTGTTTTTTTTTTTGTTTTATTTTTGCTGGCCATAAAATATTTGATTTGTTATGGAAATTGCATTTGGCGTTCCAACAATGTACCTTCATACATACATATTGTAAAATATTTTTTGGAAAATTGTTTCCATCTCTA